ATGAAGGGGGAAAACTACTTTTGGCCAACTGTTTTAAATTGGATGGAACAGTGTCCGGCCAAGAAAACGGCTTGAGATGAAATGATTGAGAACTTTGAACTGATGCCGAGTTGCTTACTCAAATTAAAGCAAACGTCCTTTTAAGGGTGTATACCTAAGTGACCCCCAAAAATGTGGGTTTGAACTTCGCTTCCGTTCAATGAATCAACTTTTTCTTCCGTTCCGAAAACTTTTCCTTTTTAACTGCTGGATTTCCATTTCCTTCAAGGTTTGACCATTATGGGACGCTGTGTTGTCCTGCCTGCAAAGCGGCTTAGAGCCATGAATCCCTTGGCCCACAATGCTCCTTATTAGGCAGCCCGCGTTCACCTAGGAAAACATCCGCTCTGGCAGCCAAGAAGGTTGCCTAGTACCCAAAAAAAAGAGGAGAACAACTGAATAGTGAGTGTATTGACTGCAAGATATCCTGTAGTCACCAGAACACCAAAAAGCGTCTGTAAGGATTTACTTTTTTTAAGATCTAAGTAGTGTTTTAGTATTCTACGCAAGTACACGCTATCGATAGTTTTGGCTATCGATTGTGGCCACTATCGATAGTATCGAAAGCTCTTCACTTTTTGAAAAATTTTTACAAAATATCAATAAAACAAATCCAAATTTTTAATTTTTAGCTGATTAACAATGCAAGTTTTAACGAATTCATTTTTACATCAATTTTAAAAAGCAATTTTCATATAATGCTTTTCCATGGTCTGCCAGCCAATTGTCTTAGCCTACCGCTAACCTTTTGGAAATGCAGTAAGCCCTGAAAGTTGAAAATTCCCGCAAGTTTACAGAAATATTTCTCAAGAGCGTATCGTTGAGCCCAAACCATCGATGTTCACTAAATTCTTCGACTATCGATAGTATCGATAGTGTTATCGATTGTTTTACCAACCCTACTCTACGCTCCTCAAAATTCAAATAAATAAAGAGGTTATAAACACAGGAATACTATAACTTCCATTGCCGCTTTGATTTTTGCAATGAAAACTTCCGGAGTCGAGTGAGCCTGCCCGATTCGGGCATACCCTCTGGCCGTTCTCGTACTGGGTATGGGAATGGGGAACCGCACAAAGGACGCCCCAGGTCGTTTCCATGGCCTGGCATTTAAGATAAATGATCGCCTGCCAACAATGCACAAAGAGTCACAAAAAGTTTGGTCACGTTTGTGCTATTTGGCGGCCAAGGCATATGCTGGAGGTCCTCGGATTCGGGAATCCTGGGGGTGGCTGTCTAGCTTGCATCCACCTTGGCGCAATTTTAATATGTTTATGAGGGGGTGGCCAGGGGCTTAAAATTCAAGACACATGCTGCAGCTTAAACGTTTTAGAAATCTATTTTTCAAAGGAACACATGACAGGCGGGGTTTGGGTAGCAGTCGCATGTGTGCGTGCGAATTGCATTTAATTGAATCGTCTGAGCAGCAGGTGAAAGCATATTTAAGTATTTCGTGCAGCTGAAAGATGTGAAGGAACATGAAGGACCAATCCAAGGAGGAAGGACATCTCCAAGTTGATCTTAAATGTGAAACGCAGCTTAATGATTCAGCGATGTGCGTCAACATACGCTGGACGATAGTTTGGTTTACCTTCTGTACACTAGACACCATGACTCTTTTTTTGGCATAAAGTCACTCCATATATGTGACTAAATAGCTAAGATTAAATAGCTAAGATCTTTCTTTTTCTGGCTGTTTTTTAAGCAATTGCGAAAGCAATATTCAGCAAAGCAGTTTTTTCAGTAATTTTTTCAGCGTTATACCTATATTTAGATTGGTTCATTGAAATTACGTAACGTAAAATTAGTTCTGGTAGTTGAAATGCTCTTAATTAACTCAGCTTTTAATAATCGAACTTATAAAATGATTTCTTAGTTTTTCGCAACTATTTGACTCTTGCTCTCTCTCTCACAGTTGAATTTTACTTTTCTCTGAAGCAATTACAAGCTAAGTCAATTACAAATTTCAGGTCACTATTTAAGCTTGAAATATTTCAGCCGTACTTAATGACATTTTTTAAAGCGTACATCAAATTAAAGTACAACTAAAAACATGTACTTTAAATTAGATAATCAAGATCCCTGCGGTGTTAGAATAGTTAAAGCATTTTAAGCCAAAGGCTTCCTTTCTACCTCGTTGCGGACAGGAAAGCCCCTCCACAAGCCGAATAAAAAAATAAATTTTGTTTAAATTTCAGTTTGGTGCAACCCCTTAGAACCGCTTGCCCATTTCGGATTCTGCCACTTGGCACTGCCGTAAATCGGTGCCACATATGGCAACTTTTCAAGTGGCTCGCGTCGCCGTCTGCGCGCACAATTCAAATAGAAATCAAAGTGGGCGTTCATGAGTTAAACACTCGACGAGGCACGAGGCATGAGGCCTGAGGCATGGGGCACGGGGAAAAGGACCAAGGCAGGAGCCAGCTTTGTGACAAACTCAGCGAAGCCAACTCGACTGAAGGCGGGCACTTGTGGTTTACGACCTGGCTGGCAGGAGAAAGCGCGAAGGACGGATCCTGGCAGCAGGAATAAAATCACATACGGATCCGGAACCGGGTGGGACGGGGAATACCCTGAAATGGCTGCGCCATTTCTTTGCTGCTTCGGATGCTGCTGGGGAAATTTATTATTCTCGTCTAGATGAGTTCATTATGCGAACAGCGGTTGCCAGTCGGGGGCGCTGCCGTTGAATGCCGAATGCGAAAACAATTTAATTTTATTGTTTTCCACATAAATTCGCTCCGAATTATGCATTGTGTAAAAAACATCATATGAAATCTGAGTGGCACCCGCACACACATGAGATGGCAGAGATTGTTGCCCATATAATTGAGTCACGTTTGGCCAGGGATTAGGTTTGTTGTCTGCTCCGCTCGGGCCCCAAAATATTCAGATTTATGCCGCGAATGGAAACTGAAACTTATTGGGAATTGCCGTCGTGTGATTTATGGAATCGACAAGCGCACATGCATAGTAAACTTTGCAAAGCAATGGGATTCGACTGGGAAGCGGAAAAAGCCAAGACACGTTCAGATCGCAGTTGCAGGAGCCAATCTGATGGATTTAGTGGGACTCAGCTCTGTAGTTATTGTTTAAGGGCCTTTTCATTCATCATCCCAAATGTGCTTCTGATAAGGTGCCAAGTTTTATTTAAATAAATTGTCTTTTAACACAGGCGAACTTTGTTACAGTATCGTTAACAATTAAGTAAAATCATAGTATATTTCAGTTAGCGAAATACAATGTGATTTACTAACCCATAGACTGTAATCACACTCACGTAGACTAAATACATATCATATCATAAATTAGTGTTGAACTTTAAGGTCTCATTTACCAAATTTCAGCTAAAGCCGTCATTAAGACCACAAATAAACCTATTTCTGGAAAGATATAATGGCAGCAAGAGTCGTATGCATAGCTACGTGTTTATAATGCCAATAACCTTTGACAGTCCCGAATCCACAGGAAATGTGGGACACACGGGGAAGGAAAAGGAGGCTTTGGATATGGAAAGCTTTAGATGGAGCGGCAAGAAAAATCAAAATTCGTGTTGGCATGCAAGTTCAATGGCTGCCATCCTGCGACAGGCAAACAGAGTGAACGAAATTAAATTTATCTGTATCAGTTCCACCGCCCCAGGGATCGGATGGGGTGAATTCCGGAGCCGGGGTCCTGGGGAACAGCTGCAGCAGGAGCTGAACACATGTTCGGACAAATTCATCTGGCATGTCACAATGCGCAACGGTATGCAGAAACATCCCAGAGGGTAGGACATTGTTATGGATAAGCCAGACTTGACTTTGGCATCCTAGTTTTTGGCCCGGCTGCAGATTGCACGTGACAGGACTCGACGAAAAGTGAAACTTGGCAAATATTTTGTTGAAACACTTTGGATACGGGGTGGGGCATCTTCATCCCCCGAAGCACGAGGGCCCCAAACTTTCGTACGGTGGAGTGGCAAGTGTCATTAATCAAATGCCGCCCAATAATTTGCAACCCTTTCTGCGTCAGTTTTGAAATATGAACTTTTTGCTCTGATGAATGCCGGCAGTCATTAATAAATTAGGGGTTAAAATGCCATAACAACGACAAGAGATGCGGGAGGAAAGCGTTTTGCCAGCCGCTGAAAAGTTGTTTATTTAATTGAAAGCGAAACGAGGGGGCTAACGGATTCGTTTAACTCAATTAAATTGGGGCCAAGGAAGCAGGGAGGAAAATCAGTTCAACTTTGATTTAACGACCCAAACAGTGGCTGTCATGCCAATATCACATAGAATCAACATTTAAACAAGAAAAACGCGTAGTCAAGTTTCCTGACTAACAAATTTTAAACTTAACATTCCCCCACAAAACAATCAGAGTGCAGGTGGCGCCATCTGTCGAACTGCAAAGGCAACACTAAAAGCTTAGAGCGTGCAGTACCCCCTCCTCCCACTAACAGTTCTATCCTCCTGTCTCTCAACATAAGCGATCACCGGCAGAGCAGCGGACGATCAGCGACTTAATAACTTCTAAAATAATAGCTTGATTTAAAACATTTTTGTATTTACCGATAGATATGAGCAAAGCACACCAATAGCTAAGGTCTAAGGTCGTTAGAGTGGGCGTGGCTCCGTTTTGAAATAAACTTGCGCTGCGCTGAAATTTATAGAATCTGCATGCCAAATTCCAAATCTAATTTTATAATTTCCAAGATCTCGACGTTCATACAGTCAGACAGACGGAAAGACAGACGGGCATGGTTAGATCTACTCGGCTTTTGACCTTAATCGAAAATATATATACTTTATAGGGTCGGAAACGCTTCCTTCTATCTGTTGCGCTTACAATATACCCTTTCACTCTTTGAGTAACGGCTTGTTTTTTACCAATTTAGAATAAACGTGTATAGAATAGAAGAGTATCCCCTTTGAAGGTACTGTTTTTCAAGTCTTTCACTTTCATGTCATTTAGTTAATATCAGATTGACTTTAATACAATTTATTCCCTGGCAAATGTACACATCCTAAAGTTCGACCTCATCCGAATTCCCAGTTGAACCAAATCCCGTTTTGGTTCACCATGACCACTTGGAAAATACCCGAGTGTAGGGCCGTGGGCCTGTTACCATTAGAGGAGGAGAGCGATGTGCTGACCAGCGGTAATGAGCCCACTGGCGGGGAGGAAGAGCCCGACGCCTACGAGGAGCTGGAGGAGATGAAGCAGCGCCTGATCCTCCTGCGTAGCAAGATACTTAGGCCGGAGCTGAGCCGGTGCCAGGATGTGGACGACCAAAAGGACTTGACCACCAGGACTCCGGAGAGGCAGCAGCTCGAGCTGCTGCGCCGCCAGAAGTACCTGCTCCAGTGTCGACTTAAGGAGGCGAAAATGCACCTGGAGGAGACGAGCCGGGAGGTCAAGGAACTCGAGGATTGGCGCTGCCTGCTCCAATCGCGCATCCTGGAGATCAAGCGCAAACTTTCCCAGTTCGTGGAGTTCATGCCGCGGGTCAAACACCATTTCGGGCTGTGCATCGAGCGTTGGGAGTACCTGAAGTCAAACAAAATTGATTCCACCACCTACCGCCAGAAAATGCAGGCGCAAGCCCTTCACGCGGACAACTCCCGGAAGTGCGTGGTGCCCATGAGCTGCCACAAGAACACCAGGCAGCACCTGCGTATGGAGCTGATGATGCTTCGCGTCTTCCTGCACAATCTCTTCGAGGCGATGGTCAGCGACTTCCGGTTCTTCTGTCGCCAGATGAACATCAAGTAAGCACCTTAATATCCTTCTTTATTTTAAAATCCATTAATGAAAAATAACTATGTTTCAGCTTTACCCGTTTACCATCCATTGACACCACTCCCACCAACAGTGCAGGAACTCCGACCAACTCGGTTGCTTCGTTCGAGGTGGAAGTCCGCGAATAAATTGGGTTCCGCTTAACCAAGTTCCTGCAATTACTGCTTTAATTTAAATTTTATTTTCGGGGGCCCTCTGTTTTTAATTGCCTGGGAAATGTCGCCCAATTAGGGTTATTGAGGTTCGGCGCCCTTAACGGCCCTTTTGCGGCCAATAATAATAACACGTTTCCAACTCGAACGGGCACCGTCGCGGCCATCATTAAAGCCAGGCTATCATGGACTTTCCGGTTGCCTAATCCGACTTTCGACGTCAGCCAAATGTGCTCGCATTCCCACCAGGATAAGATGGCTAAATACGAAACGGCATCAGATAAAAACAAAAGCAGATTTGTCTTTCCCCATCCTCGCAGGAGGATGAACAAATCCGCACCACACACCAAAAAGAGACGGGAGCTGAGCTGACTGCCTCCGGCTGAAGGCCAGCAGCCAAGGCTGAAATCCTTATCCTGCTCCAGCTCCAATTTCAACTCCCAGCTCCAATCCCCATATCCTTTTTGGAGGTTTTCGAAATGCGTAAAAACTCAATTGCTGCGCATTTGACGATGAGCTTGGCGGTGGGGCTGGGAGTCCGGATCGACATGGGTCCCGGGTTGAGTGAGATGCTAGATAACGCTGGGAGAGAACGACGGAGGGGAGGGGGCGGGAATGGCGAAAACAAATTTATTGGAGTCATGTGCTAATACCAATGCCAAATTGCAAGGTTACAAGCGGCTAGAGGCGGTATACTGCAGCTATTTTAGCGACGAACATGTTGTACTCTTTTATGCGCAACATAATCTGAACAAACTTTCAATTGGTATTAGTTGATTAAGAATATTAGTCTACCTTGGATTCATTCCTTTGTAAGGAACTCTTTAAAAGACTGCTGTCTTATCTTCACATTCAGGGAAAACAAGAAAATCTTTTTTTAATAAGTTTTTTTTGTAAAATTTTACAGTAATACTAAAGGCATGGACATAACATTTGATAGTGGCAAAAACAATTTGAAAATAAATTGTTGGGCGTTAAGCACAGCCTTATATTCACTTACTGCTTTAAGACACTTTCAAAATCGACAGGATCCGAGCCTTTTCTATTTTATTTATTAAGCCATTTCATCTTTACAATAATCAATTATTGTAATTAGTCATTATTAGAGTAAGTAATTTATAAAATAAGTTCAAAATACCTGTACTACGATTTCGATATAATCTACTCTTATATAAAAAACTGTATACGAAATTAATAAACTGTCAATAAATTTTCACTCTTAAAAATCAAACGTAAAATAAATAAATACTTTCCCCAATTTTTCCGCACAAATATACCCATTGGACTAGAGTACCGAACAGAGATGGAAACATGATGATACACAGATAGTGACGTCGGACCGTTGGCTGTTACAAGGTTGAAACACAGGAAACGCATTAGATACTTGTGCCCGATTCGCAGTGGTAGTGAGTGGGATTCCCCCTCTGGACCGCCAGTGTCCCCAGTCCCGAGAATGGAGCTGGGTTGGCGCGATTAAAATCTGCGTAAAATGATGCGGCAATTTGATGAGCAACTAAGTTTGGGCAATTAGTTTGGTAAACGCTTGGCAGTGGCCAGTTGATGTGCGTGTCCGGCTAAACTGTTGCTCGGAGGGGGGCCACAAAACTCGGAACTATTTGCTGAGCATTCAGTGGTAATGGGCTCAGGAAGACCCGAAAAGTTTGCCCAGTGATTTATTGGGGGCAATCCGCAGGGCAGATACAGATGCTCTCGGATTGATCGGCAGTTTCCCTCTATTTCCACACAATTCCCAGGCACATGACCCCTGGCACCGGAATGACATTCGGATCTAACGGAACCCTCTAATGCCTAACAATCGCCAGCGGTTTGGTTCAGTGCTCGTACTCGTGCTCGTGGTCTTGCTGCTCCACTGAACTCTTTGACAGGCCTGAGTTGCGGAGAACAAAAAGACTTGCTAATAAGCCGATGAGGCCCGACCAAAAAAGAAGTTGCCTTTGGGCTGCTCCCCAGCAATCGCAAAGATACATTTCGAGTGCCCAAGTTTGCTCTGCTCTTCGCAGTGTGTGTGCCAGCTAACCGCAAAGTACAAATAATTTCCATTTGGCCAAGGCGGCGGCATTTGCATATTCCTCCAGCCCAGCCCAGACCATCCCATCTCAGCCCAATCCAGCTTGGAAAAGACAAACATGCCTGCCGGGTGCAGCGGCCAGTATTTAAATAGCTGGCAGATACGTCTACTTATAAATACTTTTGTCGTCTCGGCAAACGATACGGCACAAGTTGTAGATAAATATGGCATAGATTACATAACTAGTTGTGCGCCACAAAAAACTTTTTCCGTTCGCCCAGCAGCGAGAATACATATGGATATCCGAGCATGAGTATCTGAAAGCATAAGTATCTAAGTATCTAAGTATCTGTACACATGGTGGAGCGTTTATTTATGAAATTCCCCGCAGACTCCGCTCGTCGTCGAACCGAAGCTCAAATGCGCCGTTCTAACCGATGAGCTTTCGTGGGCGCCGTGGCTTAGTTGGTTAAAGCGCCTGTCTAGTAAACAGGAGATCGTGAGTTCGAATCTCGCCGGGGCCTATCCCTAGGAAGTCTATTCCTCTGGGGTGTTCTTTTTTTCTTAGACGTTTTTTTATTTCTGATTTCTTACGCAAATTAACCCTATGTTGCCACATTGTAACCCCACAACAAAAGCTATTTTCTTTGCTGTTAACGGCTGTTTATTGTTACGCCTGCCAGCTGACGCTCTGCAGCCCATTAACGTGTTCCAATTGCGGCAATAATTGTTTCAATAATCATTAAAATGTTGCAAATATTTTGGTGGCGGGCAATTCACCATCCCCAATGTTTCGCCATTGGGAGAGCTTTTTGGAAAGCTTCCCCAAGTCTTACAAAGATTTTACGTATGATTATAAATTAAATATAAGGTGGTCAAAGGCAGTAGTTTTAAATACTTTAGCTAACAGATTATGCGCCTAATTAAATTACTGAGACCTATGAATTTCGTTTGTTTTTCACTTTCAGAATATTAAAATTCTTTCAAATGGTTCTTGTCCATTCTTAGCCCCTCGCTAAGCTTTTAGTACAAATATTACGGAAATATAACACACACGTAGAAGCTTTCCGTAAAATAATCCTAAGAAGCTTTTTCGTTACCGTTGTATGCGATAGAACTTCCGTATTTTTTAACGGTGTAATCACAAGAGTGGGCGATAACTCGTCCATATCTCTCATTTAATATCTTTCAGTTGAAACAACTGAACAAATATCAATTTCCAAAATTAATTTACCAACGAAAAACCCAAAAGGGTGGGAACTTTCCCTCAAATTGGGTAGTTCAACGCCCGATGCCACAACGGCGCCGTGGCTTAGTTGGTTAAAGCGCCTGTCTAGTAAACAGGAGATCGTGAGTTCGAATCTCGCCGGGGCCTTCAGTTAAGGATATAGGAAATGTCCTCTTTTTGTCGATTTTTTTTTATTTTTCCATAACCTAATGCGTCAACACTTAACTAAAACTAACACAGTAATTAACAAGCACCAGGAAGTGCGGCTTCCAACCATTTCGCACCTAATCCTTGTAGACCAGATAAAGCACCACGATCATGAAGTACGTGGGCCGCTCGAAGACCAACTGGGTGAAGTTGTCCCGCTTCTCGTCCATCAGGTGGCACATGCGCTGGTGGACGCCCTGGTTCTGCTTCTCCACGATCGACAGCAGGCAGACGATGCGGTGGCTGTCAATTTACGGGTATCTTTGGGGCTAAGTGATCAAATGGCAGGGTAGCGGGTGTCGCCACTTACCGCCTGTGGTTCAGCTTCTTGACCCGGTCGCGTATCTCGGCCGCCAGACCTTCGACCAGCTGCAGAGCCCGCCAAGAGTCGTAATTGCGGCTGAAGCGATCCCACAGCAGCCGCTCCTCGATGCAATCTTCGATGATCTTCAGGGCACGTTCCATATTGAAGTTGGTGTGAAAGAACTTCCAATCGTTCTTGGGCTTCTCCTTGATCGGCTCCCCGCCCTCGCCGGCGGTCGGCTCGCCCTCCGGATTTTGGGCGGCCCGCCGCCTACTCAACATCGACTCCGAGAGCAAGGCATTCATGCGGTTGGTGGTGCGCACCGATGCGGTTATCCTGCGGATGGTAATCGAGGTAATTGCTAACGATCCATATTTCAATCCAAATAATTAGTTCATACACTCAGCGATAAAAAAACCTACGTAAGACGTAAGGAAATACGAAGAAAAAGCTGTGAACTGAATATTAACAAATAAGCTGCCTCTAATTAAGATTTTTTAAAATGTTAGTGGCTGGTAGACGGAAAAGTTTCTAAAAAGGTTTACAAAATCTTAGGAACTATAAGAGGAATAAAATTGAGAATAACCATGTATACTATACACGATGTCTTCTACTCAGTTTCTTTAAAATTTTAGCAAATCACGTCGTTGGGTCGTTAGCAATGGTATACATAAAGTATGTTCCTATGTATAAGATTATTGCGCTTTTATGGTTTTCTCTGTGAGAGAGATAGCCAAAAGAGATAAATAAAATTGTATGAAAAGTTTACATTGTTTTGCTGCACCTGCAACGAATACTGTGATAGAGATATACGTAGAATAAAGTATAAAACAACAAAGAACTCTGTAGTCGAGTTTCCGTATAGACTATTAGATACCCGTTACTCAGCAAACAAACTTCTAACTATGCATTTCTCCTACAAAATAATCGAAGTCCTACGGTCTAACATGACTCCGAGTGACAGTACATACTTTCCCGACTTTGAAATAGTTATAGTTTTCGAGATATCGACGTTCATACAGACGGAAAAACGGTTAGACAGACGGACATGGATAGATCGACTCGGCTATTGATTCTGATAAAGAACATATATATTTTACAAGGACTTCGGCTTACCGAAGTTTGTTTCCTTTCTTGTTTTTTTTTAGTTCTTCAAAACATGGTAGTGGTTAAATTATTAAGAATTACGGTTTAAGTTTCATCAAAATCGGTTGACTGTAACATATAGCTCCCATTGAAACAATCAAAATATTAAAAAAAAAAATACAAAAGAATAACATATATTTTTTACATTTTTTAAAAAATTCTTTTTGACATAGTAATAATTTTATGGTATAGAATCAGGCATTTAATTTTATTCAAATCGGATAACGATATCATATAGTTGCCATAAAAACGATCGAATAATAGCGCTAACATCGCGGAGGCTTAAATTTTCTGATCGCAAAGCCAAAATGGCACCTTTAAAATTGTTTTACATTTTTTTTAACACCAAAAGCTTACGATTAACCAAACTAGACGGCAGTTTAAAACTAAATACTTAATAGATAACACGAAAAAAGATCCAAAACGATTAAACCTTTTAATATATTTTTGCATTACTCTAGGTGTCCGGATTTCTTTGTCCAATACTGTACAATTACCAACTGGTTCTAGCTGCGTATTGCTAGTTTCCCCTTAAACAGGACTGAATATATTAGCTTATTGGTGAAATATGCATGCACGTTCAAACCTTTTGCGTTTGTTATTTCCCAAAAATATGCAAATCTAGTTGTATATTTCATTATGTGTTTCTAATTGTCACTATGCTGGGTTAATGAGTACCCTTAAGTACCACTTTTGTGTCACGCGCGCCTGGAAGGACCCTTATTTTCGCGGGTCAAATCCTACCTCGTTTTCATGGTGGTCCAGCTAGTCATCGTGTTCCCTTAACCCTTAACTGTCGATTCTCGGAGCTGCCTCTGCCAGCTGGCAGCGGAAAACAAACACCGGGCGCTGCTATCTGCACACTGACAGGACCGACAAGCCGACACGAGTCTTGCCCATCGACAATACCGCCGATTGGCGCCGCGCAATGATGGGGTATCCACATATCGTCAAAAGTTGTTTGAAGCTTTGTTGGTTTAGGGTCGCTCTCCAGCGGAGTCTAGCGATGGGAGACTTTGGAGTGACTTTCCTATAACTTCTGCGCTGTTGCCTGCGAATAGCTCACGCTGCCATCGCCGACTTCGAGTTCGGCAAGAGCCTTCCGGCTTGCGTGCCGCTTATCATAAATCCACTGCCGGTGCGCTCCAATTGCAACCGGCCGGATGGCGGCGGAGACGTGGGTGTCATCGCCACCAGCCACTCGGCAGGATGTACACTGGGTTTTGGTTCAGTCAAAGGCAAAGTGTTGCCATATGGACATATGGGATGAGGGGAATTACCTGGGGCCTCGGCGGCACACGCGATTTCCCTTCGAAGTTGATGACTTCTGATCGGCTGCCCTGCGACACCTGGGCGCGGTCTTCGCGGCCAGGTGAGTGTCTTAGTCTTCGGCGCGAACTTTCAAGCACTTTGATTACTTTTATCGCAAAAGTTTGCCTCCACGGCAGCGTATGCAAACTTCGCGTTGGCGCTCCAAATCTAATCTACCGGCATGCATCTGTGTCCGTATATGAAGTTATTAAATTGAAATAACTGTCAAGTCACGTGCATGAAGCGCGGAGTTGACGACTCCTCATTGTTCCCAAATGGGCGATACAAGTGGCCGGGAAATAAAGCAGAATTGAGCATTCGACGGCGGAACACTTGGGGTAGGGCATGGCAGTCGGCGTTATTGCCACAAAACAGCTCTAACAGCGCAGGGCACACGAGCAGGTACGATTAGGTAGCCGCAGCAATAGGTAGAAAATAGTTTTGCACTCCTCTGTCACATAAATCATAATAGGATTTATGGTCAAATGTTGTGAGCTTTCAGTATTTAAGTAATTTGTTTTAAATAAAGTAAAACGTTTATATTAATTTAGTTCAGAAAAACATAAATTTGAAAACTTTTTTTTAAATATATTTTTCCAAATTTTTTTTTATTAGGGCTATGTGTATATTATTTTGACGGCTTTCTTTTAATTTAAATTAACATTTTATTTTTTCAAACAACCAAATATACAAAAATGCATTTTTAACCGAATTAATTTTTATACTTTTACTTAAATATTTTTATACCTAAAAAGTTAAAATGTAAGTCTTTCAACTTTAATGTTACGAGAGGACCCAAAATATAATTTTCACACTAATCACTCACAACAGAGAACCTTTCTGAAAATAAATGCCTTATTTAAGTTTTAAGAATAACGGTCTTTAAGTGTTGTGAAATTTATATTTTGTATATGGGTTTCTTTATTTGCTATGAAATATTTTTGGTAACTAAGTTCCCGAAATTGTACAGTAAATTGACTGACAAATTATGACACCGCACAATTAGTACTGTATTGACGGTTGAATTAACTGCAAAAGTTGTGACAATCATCCTTAATATTTAAAGAGTAAATAGTAAATTGTTGCAGTTTGACTTGGATGCCAAATTAATCTATCGACAGACATTAAAAAGTTAAGATCCATCTAAATTTCTTAAGACACATAAATACAAACAGCTTGAATTGCCTCTAGTGTTTATATATATACGCATTTCTTGTTGTTCTCATACGGCGATAATTTTGCAACTTTTGTGGTACCATCATTTATTTACTACAATCACTTGTAATATTTGTTGGTCTCTTAACAATTAGCAGGTTGCACCACATTCAACTTAATCCGTATAGGAAATCAAAGGGAAATGTTTGCAATCAAATTTATTATATTAAAAATACGTTTGAAGTTAACCTTATAAAAAAATTAAAACAAAAAGCAGCAAACTAACAAAAAACATCTTAAACAAAAGAAATAATAAAAAAAAGCAAAAAAAAGCAGCCAACGAAAATCATTAAAAAGTTAAAAAATTCTTGATTTTTTTAAGACTTTTTTTCGGTACATTAAACCAAAAACTATCAGTTGGACCTATTTCAAGAATTTTTTAGTGTGTATTATTTTGCCAAATCAAATTGATATCCAAACACAAATGCAAATATATTCAGTTGTCAAAAATAATAAAATTCATGCCAATTTAAAAGATGTATTTATTTATTAAATTAAAAAATAAGTAGAGTCCTCTTAATATATGCAAGCACTCAAATACATTTTACTGCGTTTGATATTATGATTAAGTGCAGATTAATACAAAAGTGTCCTTCATTAGGTTTGATTATTGAATTATGTTATTTATCAGCCACAAATCCATTTCGGATTAGCTTTTGGTTTTCCCAGCACGCATTTTTCTACCCGCCAAAATGAGAACGCGGCACGAATCCCAAACCAAAAACTAGGTTACTAATTTCCAAACACATAACTTTCCCGACTCACGTCACATGGATGAGGAATTGGAAATGAAATTTGGCAATAGCTCGGCTCACATATGCGTGAGTGGAAATTAAACAACAGCTAAACAAATTAAGCAATTTGCACCGCCTTCCTCTCCACAATTTTGTGGGAATCGAGGGGAGCGCCGAGTGGCAATGCCGGCGGGTTCGAACTCATTAGCACCTGAGTGCACGCGACCCGTGAAAATTTGCATAGAACTTACGCTTGCATGCGAGCGTTCATGGCAGCGGCGCCTGAACTTATGCTTCACTTCACCTGAGTGTAGTTCTTCGGTTGATGGGGATAAATATTTTCGGCGAAACTGCACGAATGAAACTCACAAATGAAACTGGCTGAAGTCTCCGGCTCCGGGAGCTCCAAAGCATAAAAGCGCAAAGTCAACGGCGACTGGAGCAGGAGAAAGGCGAAAGGTGAAAGGCGAAAGGGTTGAGCTGAGTGCCCCAACAAGGTGTACGCTTTGATGGTGATTGGCTCACGACCCAAAAGGAGGAAGGTGGAGGTGGAGGTCTTCATGTCACTCGTTAGCTCCGTTCGGCTGCGATTTGATTTGAGTTAGCATGTCTAAGGACAACTCAGCGGCAATTTTCGGGTCGGGAAAACAGAGCAAATGTGTGCCAATGTATTCCAAATTGTGTTTATTTTGAGTAATTTGCAATCCAGCGAGGGCACATCCCGCTCGCACACACATCGCCTGACTCCGGCAGACAGTTTGGCAATTAAAATTGTAGGTTGCCAACTGTCGACGCGCCGCATGCAAACCAAATAGCTTCTAAATATGTCGAAAACGCGAGAAGGAGGTGGATGCTAGAACACACAGAAAGAAGAAATATAACATTAGGATTTAAGAAGCCCCTTTCAGTTAGAACACTACTACCTGGTACACTTCACACAAAAAGAAAAAAAAAGCATAAGAAATCACAATTCGAACCTTGTTTTTTATTGGCCTTTTAACATATTTAATATCGAAGTACTTGAACATTCGACCTAAGTATTAACTATAAAGTGTTTCCTTTTTATATATGAATTCCCAACCTTTCCGCGACTTTTTTGTATTTCAAAATCAAATATTTCAAAGCTATACGTTGCGAACAAGACTACAGACTTTTCACTAATTCTTAAAACTCAGCTTAAGTTTGTGTTTGATTCATTAAATCAAAATATCTAACATAGGATCTTTAATTAGGAAGCTTACCAATCAGATCGACTTAGTCACAAGTTGTTTTGTGATTTTCATATTTTGCAGTGCATTCCGAAAATGATTATTTCGAAAATTATTATTTCTTTTGAATATACTTAGTCATAATTAATATGCTTTTCAAGCAACGTATTATATGTGTTATTTACAATAAAGTTTTTTAAGTATCATAAGAGGTGAACATTACATTCGACTAGCAAGTATGTACAGAATTAGCTAGAAGCAAGAATATTATTATTATCTTTATATTATCAACTAGTGAAACAGTCAGATTCTTCAATACTCAGAACGCCGCTGTTCGTTTCTGAAAGTTACTCCCAAAATGGTGGTGAATGTAAAGGCACCGATCTGTAGGAGAGGCAATCAAATTAAGCAAAGCGATATACAAATAAAATGTAAGAACGCACCTCCATGACTATAAGCATCCAGTCAACAATCCTGGGACCCGTCAGCAGTTCCTCGTGTAGGGTCTCCATTTTTGATCGACAGCCGTCTTTATAGGGGACTTCGTTTATGTCAAAACAGCTACGGGGAAGAGGTATAGAGGCGTCGGTGTAATCCTTTAATTTGTTGATGCCACAGCATTCATACTAAAATTATAGATAAAACAGTTTAAAAGGATTTAATTTTTTATAAGAATTGAGTGTTTTTTTAAGCTAATTAAATCAGAAATATTTTCTCAAATTTTTGACTTTGTTGGATCTAAAATCTTTGTGGGTTAACTTTTAAAATAGATTATAATTTTTGACTTTTTGTCAATTTTGCGATCGAGAAGCGAATAAATGGAAGGCTCATCACTGTTGAAGAATTCTTTAACATTTATTGTTTTTTTTTTGCTTATTTCCTCTCATAAGTGGTACTTCATTTTATAAATTTACCTTTACCTAGACACTCAACCTAGAACCTTTCCAAACCTTTGTTTTTATACCCTTGCAGAGGGTATTATAATTTCAGTCAGAAGTTTGCAACGCAGTGAAGGAGACATCTCCGACCCTATAAAGTATATATATTCTTGATCAGCATCACTAGGCGAGTCGATCTAGCCATGTCCGTCTGTCAGTCTGTCCGTCCGTCTGTCCGTCTGTCCGTCCGTTTATATGCAAACTAGTCTCTCAGTTTTAAAGCTATCTGCATGAAACTTTCCCAAAAGTTGTCTTTCTATTGCAGGTAGTATATAAGTCGGAACGAGCCGGATCGGACGACTATAGCATATAGCTCCCATAGGAACAATCGGAAAAATAAATGAAAAAAAATTATAACTTTGCTGTTTTTTAATTTTTTGTTTAGTTCTTCGACATTTAGTAATGGTTAAATATTTCCGATTTACGGTTTAAATTTCAGCAAAATCGGACGACTATAGCATATAGCTCCCATAGGAACAATCGGAAAAATAAATGAAAAAAAATTATAACTTTTCTGTTTTTTATTTTTTTGTTTTGTTCTTCGACATTTAGTAATGGTTAAATATTTCCGATTTACGGTTTAAATTTCATCAAAGTCGGACGACTATATCATATAGCTCTCATAGGAACAATCGGAAAAATAAATGAAAAAAATTATAACTTTTCTGTTTTTTAATTTTTTGTTTAGTTCTTCGACATATAGCAATGGTTAAATATTTCAGAATTATGGTTTAAATTTTATCAAAATCGGACTCTATATCATATAGCTCCCTTAGAAATAATAAAAATATATAAAATAACTATCAAATAATTGAGCTGCAAATCAGCATAGCTTCAATGTTTTTAAACGTATACGAAATTAAATCATAATTTTAATGTTTTCAAAAATGTTTAATTCTTGCAATAGCTGCAAGGGTATATGAACTTCGGCTTGCCGAAGTTTGCTTTTTTTCTTGTTATATGTAAATTGCATCTAAAAGTTATACATTACGCATTTCTAATAAACTAAAAATTCACTTTCAATTTCCAAAGTCTATTTCAGTTATAGCTGCCATAGTAGCGATCGAATTTTTATCAAAACCGAACCATAATTTTATTCAATTCAAAATCAATATAGTCCTTAGATGTGATATAGTCGTTTTTAAGTGCGCTTACTAGTGTTTGGAACTCAGCCATTGCATCGTAGTCGGCCGTCTGCTGCCCAAAGGCCTGCTTTAATTTAGTAAGAGAGGTCTCATCAAAATGCATGCGAAAAACAAAGAGCAGGACTATGGAGATGATCAGCATAACCAGCATGGAGATGGCGTACTTAGTTTGGAAAAAAGTTTATTAATAAGTGTTGACTTATCTTATCCAGTTACTACTTACAGCCCAGGTAATACAGATACTCTCCCTAATGGCACCGAAACATCCGAAGAATGAAAGCAGAAATACGATTGAACCAACAGCGATGTATATGCCCAAAATGAGTTGATCCCTCGGATCTATTTTCTCAATTGCGATTACATTGATAACGATAGTTGCGATTCCCAGCACCTGAAAATTGTACACAGAGGCTTTAGCAAAATAAATAATCATATAAATGACCGAACACATCGATTATATTTATACATATTCATAGCCCTACTCACATTAATCATTCTTACCAAAACATTTTGACCGGATAAGGTTTGACAAGGCTACTCTAATGACTCACAATAAAGATTAAATGGGCTTTAATTCTGCTTTACCAATATTTGTTCATATCACTCAAAAGCGTCTAGTACAAATAAGTGAATGAAATAAGTGTTGGGTTGTTTTAAAAAATGTATATTTTTACTCTAAATGTTTTAAGAAATAAATATTTAACATTTTAATTGAATTTTGTTGAAATATTAAATTATTCCATCTTTAGTAATGATTTTGGTTTTCAACAAAAAGCAAAATGTTTTTTCTATGCGAAATTCCAAACACAATTTAGTTGTAAATCATTAACCAAAATGTTGGTAAGGCACTTCATTAAATGCTAAGTATCAATTTATTTTATTTATTTTTGCACATTTTTTAGTCACATATCTATATTGATTTGTAATTTCTGTTATATTTTTTGCAGCCGGTACAGTCGATAATGTGAATGGGTTTATCGCATAGCTAGTTATTTGTCCTATCACCACTCACCGCACAAAGAAAATTGAACAGGAACGCTAGATATTTAATCATCAACGGTGACCAACCCATGGCGATACAAAAATTCGGTCGACGCGTGCTCTAATTTCCGCAGGTTACTAACTTTAATTCCGATGGTTACTCCTAGAAGGTTATTGCTATACTAAAAAGTTGAACAAATACGATCGTCGATTGAGTTTCGTTTGTGTTTGCAATCGAGTGTGACACTACACTCAAAAAAATAACAAATTGCTAACGTGTACAGATAAATTACTCTTAAAATAATTACATTACAAGAAATAAATCATATTTTTTACAAAACTTTATGTTTTTAATTGTTTAATAGTGCTTTATTTCAAATCTTTTTAAAATTAAAATTAAAGTGCTCAAATGTGGTTAACAATCATACAGTGATGAGCCATTCCTCAGATATAGTAATAACTATATTAAGACGTTTCTCTCAACTGATTCACGACGAGATCAAGTAGTTGCCCCTCTCCAGTGACCATGAAAATAGCTGCCCCATATCTGATAAGTAGGGAGCTCTCACCTATAAAATAATCTTTATTGCCATTTGAAGCGTTTGCTCTTTAGGGTGGACATTTTTGCTAGGCTGATAGTGGCATTATTTGTTAATCATTATGTAAATAGTAACTAACACTTGGCTTTCGCTTTGAATAACTCAACTAAAACCACAAGTATGTTAAATGAGTGTTTTGTTTATTTTAAAAGTGTATACTTTCCTATGCCCTAAGTGAGTCACCTATATAAATTAAAATATTTAAATAAAATGTGTTTAGAAATGTCCGCCCGAACCTCTCTTGGGCATTCCAACTCAATGTTTTATTGAGGTAAACAAATTTCGGGCGAATTTCTATGCTCAAGTGCTTATCAAATACAACAATTAGGCAGGGCAGTTGCTCTGTCGCTCCGCTCTTCGCTGAATGGGTGCCCAGCTGTTTCGCGGAGAGCCTTATCAGCCCGATGGCCGGGTGTTTTTTGATAATTCTAAGCCTCAATGGACTGCGTTGTTTTGCGTTTGCTGTTTGGGGCTGGGCGCTACCTTTCAGTTGATTTTTGATAGCGGGAGTGGCCGAATCTGACAGACTAGACCTGAAAACCTGCCAAAATGAGCTGCGGCACGAAGACATTGAAGGTGTCGTCCTTCATTTTGGACTTTCTGTGCTGTGTGAGTCGTTATCGCCAAATCCCCTACTGATAGTGCCCGTTTTTCATACATTTTTTCTCGCCCCCCCCCAGGTATTGGCGGCACTGACCATTGCAGCATGTTCCTACGCCCTGATCACCTTCAGCCACAGCATGGCCATTCGAGTACCCTGCATTCTGGGGATAGTGCTGGGTGCCCTGCTTTTCGGCAACACGATCTTCGGCTGCATTGCCGCATTGAGGGAGAGCATCCGCATGACTTGGATCGTAAGTACCAGTATTGGAGCCCCATCCCCAGACCCACACTGTATGCTAAACACCCTCCTTTCTATCGCCCGAAAGTATGCTGCAATCATGCTGGCGCTGATATTCGGACAGATCACCGTGATCTTCGCCCAGCCCATTAACTATGAACTGCTGGCCAACGAGACGATATACGATGCCTGGCAGGGACAGCTCTATCATCAGAAAAGCATGTCCTACTATGAGATTAAGGTAAGTTACTGGGGGCATTTGAAGACCATTCTGACCAGCCACCAACTATTTTAAGATAGTTAAAAAACATTATTCACGGTTAAAGCCTTAAAGCTAACAGAACATTTTTTTTCAATTCCAAGGAAATATTATCAATTAGCATTTTGACAAATTTTATCGGAATTACCTGCAAACGTTTTTATCTCTGTTTGCGTAAATATTAACCAATTTTCGTTTAGTACCACTGCTGCGGGCAGACGGGGCCTACCAACTATCCGGATAGTGGCCTGCGAGTTCCTCAAAGCTGCTACTTCAATCAGAATGCGACGGTGACATCGGATCTCTATACCGCTGGCTGTGATCAGAAATTGGCAGCCGCCTTCACCAAGGGAACTCGCTGGGAGCGGATCAGCGATTGGTCCGTTGTGGGTGTCGAGGTAATTGAATTTAGTTTTTAAGGGACTAACAGTGATCTTATTCTTTAAAACTAAATATGTATTCGTCAGGTGCTCACCGTTACTGTGGCCGGTCTCTTGGCTATAACCTTACAGAATGCAGAGCGTCGTCGCCTTTACCGATAAATGCTAGTTTTTAGTATATCCGTCAACAGTATTGTAAGCTGTCCGAATACATTTGATTATAAATCTGTAAATAGTCAAGCAAAAAATAAATAAATAAAACAAATACATTTGATTAAAAATCTGTAAATAGTCAAGCAAAAAATAAATCAAACAAATAAATCCTAAAATTCTTAACCAGTTCCTAATACTTGGCAATCGAGTTCCAAGCTATTGGTTTGATTTGGAAAAATTCAAGTCTCTCGATAGATATGACCGAACTTAACATATGTTCATAACTTACGGCACTACTGACCTCTACCTTGTCTCGTTAGAGTGTCCATGATCACATTTTGTTATAGAAGAATTTGCTTGTTTAAATATAAATTTCTGGTTTTTATAGTTTCCAGGATATCGACTTTCATACGGACAGACAATTAGACATTGATAGAACAAAAATATACCCGTAATGGATAAAAAAGTATCATTCATGCCGCAATTATCAATTAATTAATATGACTTTCTCAGAACCAACATGCCCTTAACCTCGAAAAAAGGAACAAAATAGAACTAAAAACTTAAAAATTTATTAGTTGATAAAAAAATGTTCACAATTCAAACATCGGCAACCTTTGTTCGTGCGCATTTTTAATTTGTGCCCCTAGTTAAAGATGCTATCAGCTGATTTCTTTTGAAGCAAGTGTTTGTGGTTTATAGAGATCACTCCACCACCCGTTGAACGGAAAGTCCATATGGTTTTTCATTTCCAAAAATTTCGCAGTTAGCTTGAAAATTTAACGGAGTTTGAAGAACAACCCTCTTCCCAAGCAGTCCATCCCTGAAAAACCGTTGGGATTTTCGAAAAAAGAGAAACTTCTGTTTCCACAGAACACAATCACCTTCCGATGACAGCTGATCCTAACAGCTGTGGCTCATCAAATCATAAACAAAAATTGTTGACCTGTTGACTTTGTTCAGAATTGGAAGGTGAATTGTGGTTGTGCTGTGGAAATCGGAAATTCACATTTGTCAAAAGTCCCAACCATTTCCAACGGATGAACTGTGTGGAAAGAGGGCATTAAGCTTCTATCTAATTTGTAGAATTCATAATGTTAAAACTTGATTTTTTTAATGATCAGTCGAAAAAGCCCAACTCAGATCCCTTGATCTCTAACTATTTGATCTGTTTGGATCGTTCCCCCAATAGATACAATTTTCTGCGGACATAAGCGATAGGATTAAAACCCGAATAAATTCGTGCGATGACACTGACCATCGATATATCGCACAGACTACAACTTACATCACTAAGGGAAGCGCCATTATCAGTGTGATTCTCCGTGCAGTTCATTCAAATCTTTGTCTTCCAAGTTCTTCTAAATTCTATCACTGAAAATTCGCTAGAATTGAGAGTGACTCATAAGACCAAAAATTGTTAACAGTGTGCTTTATATTTTGGTGGTAAGCTGTTTATTGTGTTAACCCGGCCGCTTCTAGATTTATAATATAAGTGAAAGTTGTTATACCCTTGCAGAGGGTATTATAATTTCAGTCAGAAGTTTGCAACGCAGTGAAGGAGACATCTCCGACCCTATAAAGTAGATATATTCTTGATCAGCATCACTAGGCGAGTCGATCTAGCCATGTCCGTCTTTCCGTCCGTCTGTCCGTCCGTCTGTCCGTCTGTCCGTCCGTTTATATGCAAACTAGTCTCTCAGTTTTAAAGCTATCTGCATGAAACTTTCCCAAAAGTTGTCTTTCTATTGCAGGTAGTAAATAAGTCGGAACGAGCCGGATCAGACGATTATAGCATATAGCTCCCATAGAATCAATCGGAAAAATAAATGAAAAAAATTATATCTTTGATGTTTATTAATTTTTATACCCTTGCAGAGGGTATTATAATTTCAGTCAGAAGTTTGCAACGCAGTGAAGGAGACATCTCCGACCCTATAAAGTATATATATTCTTGATCAGCATCACTAGTAGAGTCGATCTAGCCATGTCCGTCTGTCCGCCTGTCAGTCTGTCCGTCCGTTTATATGCAAACTAGTCTCTCAGTTTTAAAGCTATCTGCTTGAAACTTTCCCAAAAGTTGTCTTTCTATTGCAGGTAGTATATAAGTCGGAACGAGCCGGATCGGACGACTATAGCATATAGCTCCCATAGGAACAATCGGAAAAATAAATGAAAAAAAATTATAACTTTGCTGTTTTTTAATTTTTTGTTTAGTTCTTCGACATTTAGTTATGGTAAAATATTTCCGATTTACGGTTTAAATTTCATAAAAATCGGACGACTATAGCATATAGCTCCCATAGGAACAATCGGAAAAATAAATGAAAAAAAATTATAACTTTGCTGCTTTTTAATTTTTTGTTTAGTTCTTCAACATATGGTAATGTTTATTTATTTCAGAATTATGGTTTAAATTTTGTCAAAATCGGACGTCTATATCATATAGCTCCCATAGAAATAATAAAAATATATAAAATAACTATCTAATAATTGAGCTGCAAATCATCATAGTTTCAATGTTTTTCAGCATATACTCAAGTAAATCATAATTTAAATATTTCAAAAGTATTTAATTCATGCAATAGCTGCAAGGGTATATGAACTTCGGCTTGCCGAAGTTTGCTTTCTTTCTTGTTTTTTTTAATTTCTTCGATATATATTAATGGTTGAATATTTCAGATTTATGTTTTTAATTTATCAAAATCGGAATCATATAGGAAAAATCGGAAAAATAAATAAAAAAAATTATAACTTTGCTGTTTATTAACTTTTTTTTTAATTTCTTCGACATATAGTAATGGTTGAATATTTCATATTTACGTTTTTAATTTATCAAAATCGGAATCATATAGGAAAAATCGGAAAAAAAAATAAAAAAAAATAAAACTTTGCTGTTTTCTTAATTTTTTTTTAGTTCTTCGACATATAGTAATGGGTAAATATTTCAGAATTACGGTTTAAATTTCATCGAAATCGTATGACTATATCAAATAGCTCCCATGGAAACAATAAATTTAATTAATTAATTTTATTGAAATCGGAAAATGATATCATATAGCTGCCATAGGAACTATCGAATAATTAAGCTGCAAATCATCATAGCTTCAAAGTTTTTAAACATATACGGAAGTAAATCATAATTTTAATGTTTTCAAGAATATTTAATTTTTGCAATAGCTGCAATGGTATATGATCTTGGGCATGACGAGTTTGCTTCCTTTCTTGTTGAATATGATTTAAATATATTTTTATGGCTTTAGATTTTAAAGGTCAAATTCAGGAAAGCAAAAGCAAATCAAAAGCTATTTCAACGAAATCTTAAACCTTGATTATGATTTGTCGTAATCAATTCGGAAGCCGACAAAAACAATTGCTGCAAACGCAATTGTAGACCACCATTTAAAATTTCATAAAAGCGCTTCCAGCTTAATATATGTACATTAAAATGTATTTATTTCGGTTTCTGTTTTGTTTTAACCGAAAGATTGTGCATTTGATTTGTATTTGTATTTCAAGTATTATTCGTCAAGTATTTCATCCTCTTCAGCAGGTGTACAACAGAAATGCAAAAGCCAGCCAGTCTTTAAATGCGGGTTCTTGCATCCAGGCATTAAGTTGTTTTTGTTTAAACATTTTTGGCATTTTTAACGTGTAAGGTAACTCGCGATAAAATCATAAATTGTGAAAAGGTGATCGTATTAAATTCAATTCAATTGATTTCATACCTTAACCTTAATACCTTAATCTCAAATTACGTCAATTGTCTATTTCCCGCTAATTAACAATTTGTAACGCATTTTCCTATTAAAAAGTGCTTGATCTAGTGGGAAAATAGTTTAGTTGGCAACACTGTTGGCAGTGTTTGTCCCCGTGTTCCCAGTGTTTGTCGTTTGCGATCAAATTAAGCTTTTGGCATTGCATTTTTTTGTACTTGTGGCACTTTACGCCAATGTCCTTTTCAACTAGAAACAGTAGTTTTTAAAAAACAAAGTTTTGGATCAGAATGAACGTTGTTTCTCCCATTAAATAGATCATCCATTCATTGGATGAAGATGTGTATTGGAAAACTTAAATTACTCTGGTGATAAATCTAACTATTTAAAATAAACTTACTTGTATCTATAATCACTTATGCCTTATCGCTGCCTTCGCCGACGTATTTGAATATGTGCTTTGTATATGTTATTAATTGATTTCACGGAAATATAATATATAACGTTAAAGTGAGCTCTCTAGCATCAATTCCCTTGAAAAAGAATATGAATTTGCCGCAAAATAATTTCTCCAACAAGCAGAACTCGTAGACGTAATGTTTTATTCCAGCCTTACAATGAAGAATTGGCCCAACCAATATGTTCTTAATTTTTACGATGGCATTTCACATTTATATTTTCGAATAATTTTATTTTACTTCAGAAATAAGGTTGTAAAGAAACATATAGACAGTTTGTCACCTATAACTGCAAAGCTGCAAAACTGCAAAAATTATTACATGGCTGTAGCTGAAATAAGCACTCTTATTTCATTTTGGTGTGTCAATCGATAATTCTCGGCAAAATCAATTTGAAAAACGAGTCCAGAAGCCTTTAGTAAAAAGTTAAGTATGGTTTCCTCAAAGTATTTCGGCTGGGCTCTTTTTACATAAACGAGGATCTTAAACGATGACATAGCTTAGCCTACATGTCAATTAATAAACCAGACATGATGATTTCTATTTTACGCCAAATGCGCTAAATATGCAAAAGAAATATTTTAATTTTTTTTAAACAACTTATAGGTTTTGGACTCAGTCATTAACATAAAGCGCCTAGCAACTAATTTGCTCTAAATTATAAATGGTGTCTTTCTTTTCCTCAGCTTGCACACTAATAACATTATTCTGGTAAAATTTTTTGATGCCATTAACTAAGTTTTCTGACATTGTTCTTTATTGGTGTTTGTTTTTATTTTTTTCAATCTGCTTATATATTTTTCGTATTACTTCAAGAACTTTAAGCTTTTTGGAAAAATCTTTTGGGAACGCTGTCTCCACTTTTTTAACCACTATTGCCAAGGTCTGCTTACATTCGTAAGGTGCGATTTTCCGCTTTTCTTCGATCATTTTCTCATTTCATTCATACAGCCTTTTCCACGTCTGTATCGCATGTACGCCAAATTCCAAAGCGTGCCCGGATTTCTTGGCGAAAAGAATACAAAATTTAATTTTTTGAGGTTGGGGCTGACCGACTCTCCTTGTGATGCTGATCAAGAATATATATACTTTATAGGGTCGCAAATGTCTCCTTCACTGCGTTGCAAACTTCTGACTGAAATTATAATACCCTCTGCAACTCTGGTTGATGCATAGTTTGATGAACTAAAGTAATGCGCAATATCCATATTTTAAAAGGCAGCCCAACAAAATTTTGCAACTTGGTAAAACAAAAAAAAAACAACAAACCTGACCTTGCAAGAAAAAATTACTTTTTAAGTCTGTCTATCACACAGGGATGGTTGGAAAAGATATTGTGTTGATTTTATTTTTACATTGTATAACAAAATAATACTGTTCCTTATGCCAAAAAACGCAAATTCTGGCCAATATGCAGTGGGGTAAGCGACCACAACAACAATGATTAAATCAAACAACTTATTTTTAAGTAAAACAAATCGACAATGTAATCATTAATTTGTTATTAAAACCTAAAAAAAAACTGTACCTACTGCCTTAATTGCATACAAAAAAAATAAAAATGACAAACTGTTTTTACTTTTGTATAGTCACTTCACATCTTCAGATACTACTGGACTTCAACAATTCTTAGTCGCCATGAGTCCCGTTGCCCTTGACAATTTCTCCAAAGATTCTGTGGACCCTTTGGTAAGTCCACAATAATAAAATTCTGCTACGCTGTGAAATAATTGATAACCGCTTAACTGCCCTAAGATCTGTGAGATTCGTTTGGTAAAGCGTCCTGGCATTGAAGACTTTGAAGCAGCTTTCGAGGACTTGCCTTCCGCCGGTCCAGGCTGGATGGTAATCCAGCGTCGTATCGATGGCCTGGTGCCCTTTAACTCTAAGCATTTGAAGCATGATTATTGTTATAGAAATGGATTTGGCAATCTTGGAGCAGAGTTCTGGCTTGGTTGCGAAAGGCTGCACAAATTAACTACAAGTGGAAGCTATGAGTTGTACATTCATCTTGTCGATTTTGATGATTCAGTTACCTTTGCTAAATATGATAACTTTGTGGTTGGAAGCGAGGACGAGGGCTACGTTATAAAGTCCCTCGGTGCATACTCAGGAAATGCTGGCGATGCAATGTCCACTTCGGTGAACTGTAAATTTCTTCACGAAATGACTTACTACGGCTGCTATGGGAAAATTTATCATTGGTCTTGGTGGAAACACGCTCAATGGTAAATATATAAACAAACACTCAACTGTCCATACTCAAATTATTAAATATTTTCAGTAATTTGAATGGATTCTATCATAAAACCATGACCTTACTGTCAGACATCAATGGCGTTTGGTGGGGTTATAAGCCTGGGAACGAAAGACATTCTCTAAAATCGTGTAAAATGCTTATAAGGCCAAAAATGGATTAAGCGAGGCGACCAAAGCTATTTTCAATTCGTTCAACCATCCCCAACGTCTATATAAAGGCTTTTGTTATTCTCATTTATATGTATTAAAATAAATAAAAGTTATTTGCAAAAAAAAATGTTGATACTTCTTGTTCCTCCAAAATTAAAAAATTAATGTGATGCCATTAAAGTATTGCCTAATCTAGTAATTAATCGAATGACAAAGTTAATTTTAATCTTAAATTGCTTATAAAAAAAAGTATTTATCGGGAAAAGAACATTTTCGGTTCATTACTAAAAAAATATATTAAAAGAGCTCGTTTTGAGATTAATCGGTTTAGCCGTTTTCGAACTATGTTGGTCACCTACTTTGAAAACACCATTTTGAGTTAAACGCGTTTAAAGTTTGTACTTGCAAGCACTCTGGACCGCCTTTTAAAATTTGGATGTAACTTCAAAAATATGAAATTTTCAGGATGTATTCTTAAATAAAACAAAAACCCAAAAAAATATTTTGTTATTTTTTATTTACAAATTAACACAAGCGACCGCTCAATTTTGCTACGTAATACGGTCAATTTGCATGATTGTAAAAGTGTAAAACTTTTAAATGCTGCTTGTTCAACACACTGCTTATCGATTCAACTCTCGATAACTTCATTTTCCACCACACTATCGAGCCAGTGGCGGTCACAAAACAGCTGACAGCATGAAACTGCGAGCCAGTGCTGGCCACTTTTGACTTTAAAGTCGCCAGCTTGTGTTAGAATCGAAAAGAAATGGTGATGTTTAGTGCTCTAGCACAATACAAAGTATACTATCTTTGGCTTGATAATAGCTAAATTCTGAACACTACTGTGTTGTGCTGGTTCCGCGCAAACTGGTTCCGTGAATTGTTGTCAAAAGTGCTGAAATGCTGGTGAAAGCAGTAGAATGAAATTATTAGGCCCTATTTGCACAATTGCTGACTAAACGAGTGACCGCCGAACAAGTGCCATGTATTCATAAGACTCCTAATCATCTTCCGCACACCTGCGAATCGGAATTTAAAGCGGCCCCGGGGCAGAAGCGCCGCATTTCTTCGGCGAACGTTCCGCGGAGTCGTTGGCTTGAACTGGACTGGATTGGATTGGTGCGGTGACTAAAACGGTCGGACAACAACAGTAGCTTGATTAGTTGGCAGTAAACAGAGCTGGCGCTCGCATCGGTCATTCACACCGCTTCGTTTTGGCCACAAAAGATCCGCGATGGGTCTGCGGTTCCAGCAACTGAAGAAGCTATGGCTGCTCTACCTCTTCCTGCTCTTCTTCGCGTTCTTCATGTTCGCCATCAGCATTAACCTCTATGTGTCCAGCATCCAGAGCGCCGATTCGGAGATGCGGTGAGTAATATCCGTTACCCACTGCCCACGAGGACGTGCCGGATTGCACAACTTCCCTTTGGGGCTCGAATTGCAAAATGCAAGAGTTCCACTCGAGTGCCTCGCCTCCGCGATTCGATTGCGGAGGCACTTTGCATTTGATTTGGGTCTCTTGTTTGTTTTGCCATCGCTTCGCGTGATTCGAGGCCCATTCATTGTAAATGCCAAGTCTTAATACCATTGTCACATCTCTTGTGGATCGATCACTACGCCGATTTCCCGCACAGTCATCCGAAACCGCCGCCCAAGCGCCGCTCCCTCTGGCCGCACAAAAACATAGTGGCCCACTACATCGGCAAGGGAGACATCTTCGGCAACATGACTGCAGGTGAGTGAGGTGGTTCCACTTGATCACCATCATTAGGTTGGCTTGTTTGTGTAATAAAATGGTTTCAAAGTCCCCCATCGTGGATGGATTCCGTTTGTTATCAATAAAATAGTTGGTGTTCTTTCTTAAAATTAGTTCCAATCTATTACAACAAGCACCCAAAAGCACATTTTATGAAGATACTCTGGGGAACGTTTAATATTTAAAAAAAATATCGTTTTCTTGCCTGGCCAAGACAAACTCTCCTGCATTTCAAAGTAACAAATTATTAATACTTTTTAAATAGTACCGTATTTATAATTTTGTCTGTAATATTACCCTATTTGCCTTATTTCTAATAAATAAAAAAACAAATGTGTTTACTCATAGCCATTTAGTCAAACTAAAATCTAATTGGGCACTCAAATAAAACAATTAATTACCTATAAAACCCGAACCAAAGAAATTTTATTTGAAAATACATCACACTTACCTCTCCTTGAGACTAATAAAATGGGGAAACCTGAGTTGCACATTTCCAAGTCATCTTTGATGGAAAATAACTTAAAGAGAGTTTCCCACCAATGACACAACGTCCGTCCAAATGCATTAAAATCCACTCGCTTGCAGACGATTACAACATCAACCTGTTCCAGCCCATCAATGGAGAAGGTGCCGATGGGCGACCTGTTGTGGTGCCGCCACGCGATCGCTTTCGCATGCAGCGCTTCTTCAGGCTAAACAGCTTCAACTTGCTGGCCAGCGATCGCATCCCTTTGAACCGCACCCTCAAGGACTACCGCACTCCGGAGTAAGTATCAGTATGACCTCTAATTGGTTTCTATTCGTGACTCATGGATGTCCTCTAACCTGCAGATGCCGCGACAAGAAGTACGCCAGCGGTCTGCCCAGCACATCGGTGATCATAGTCTTTCACAATGAGGCCTGGTCCGTACTCCTGCGCACCATCACCAGCGTCATCAACCGATCGCCGCGACACGTGCTTAAGGAAATAATCCTGGTCGACGATGCCAGCGATCGCTGTGAGTTAAACATTGACTATTTTAGACATTAAGTCTTCCCTCATCATTGCCTCATATAGCATAGAGCCTTTAAGTTAAAGATCAAATGAATTTAAACGATTTTTGTATTTAATGCATACCAAATTTTATAACGGATGTGACGAAACAAAACAATGTAGAGTCGTTTAAGTAGAACCATACCCCATTCTTTATTTGAACAGTAAACAATTTTCATTTTGTTTACTTTATCCATTAAAACTTGTTTCTCCGATAAGAAACAAGAAAGCAAACTTCGCAAGCTTTACTTCATATACCCTTGTAGCTTTTGCAAAAAATTAATATTCTTGAAATCATTAAAATTATGATTAACTTGCGTATATGCTCAAAAACATTGAAGTTATGATGATTTGCAGCTCCATTATTCGATAGTTCCTATGGCAGCTATATGATATCGTTTTCCGATTTTAATAAAATTAAAAGCGTAATTCAGAACTGTTAAATTATAAATAAGTCAAAAAGAATTTTAAAAAATTACTATATGTCGAAGAACTACAAAAAAAAATAAAAAACTGCAAAGTTATAATTTTTTAAAATTTATTTTCCGATTGTTCCTATGGAAGCTATATGCTATAGTCGTCCGATCCGGCTCGTTCCAACTTATGTACTACCTGCAATAGAAAGAACACTTTTGGGAGATTTTCATGCAGATAGCTTTATAACTGAGACACTATTTTGCGTAGAAACGGACGGAAAGACGGACATGACTAGATCGACTCGCCTAGTGATGGTGATCAAGAATATATATATTTTATAGGGTCGAAAAGTCTCCCTCACTGCGTTGCAAACTTCTGACTGAAATTATAATACCCTCTGCAAGGGTACCACTTGGATCTTACGATTTAAAATTATTAGATGATTTTTTTTTACTGTGTTTTTCGTTTCGAAAATGATTCATAATATGAATCATGAACTTTATGTCTCGACACTGGAATCATTGTGAAAACACTGACAAAATTCCTACTTTAATCAAATCATTCCCTAGATTACTTAATTTCACCTAACTGTCAATTTTTTTTTTTTTTTACTTAAAAAAATATGTACACCGTAAAATATATTTTATTATATTATTTAGTGAGCGCGTTTTAATTGAATGAAACCTACTCTCTTTAAAAAACAAGGATTAAATTAAAACTTTGACGATTATTGTTGCCATAGGAAAGATCAGAAAATGAAAAGAAATATTTTTGGAAAATCGGGATAAAATATTACTAGAAATATGTAATTTTTGCGATATGCAGAAGAACCAATTTAAAAGAAAATGATTAGAAATTTAACATATCTTCATGATTTTTAAATGTATAGGCATTTAAATAGACGTAAGGCTATAGGAATTTATAAAATAAAATGTGCTATAGCTACAAGGGTATAAACATAGATAGTTTATAAAAAAGGAGTCGCTTTAATATGTAAACCTAGTTTTTGCACACATTTTATTTATAAAATCCACTTGTTTTACTTCCCAAGCTTATTTAAAACGCCAGCTGGAGAGCTATGTGAAGGTTCTTTCGGTGCCCACGAGGATCTTCCGGATGCAAAAGCGCAGTGGCCTGGTACCCGCCCGTCTTTTGGGAGCCGAGCATGCGCGCGGCGACGTGCTGACCTTCCTGGATGCCCACTGCGAGTGCTCGCGCGGATGGCTGGAACCACTGCTCGCGCGGATCAAGGAGTCCCGCAAGGTGGTGATATGCCCCGTAATCGACATCATATCCGACGACAACTTCAGCTACACGAAGACCTTCGAGAACCACTGGGGCGCATTCAACTGGCAGCTGAGCTTCCGGTGGTTCTCCTCGGACCGCAAGCGTCAGACGCCAAGCAACAGCTCCAAGGACAGCACGGCCCCGATAGCCACGCCCGGAATGGCCGGCGGACTGTTCGCCATCGATCGCAAGTACTTCTACGAAATGGGATCCTACGACAGCAACATGCGCGTGTGGGGCGGCGAGAACGTGGAGATGTCCTTCCGCATCTGGCAGTGCGGCGGTCGCGTGGAGATCAGTCCCTGCTCCCACGTGGGCCACGTCTTCCGGAGCAGCACGCCGTACACGTTTCCAGGCGGCATGAGCGAGGTGCTCACGGACAACTTGGCGCGGGCGGCCACCGTGTGGATGGACGATTGGCAGTACTTTGTGATGCTCTACACTTCCGGCCTGTCGCTGGGGGCCAAGGACAAGGTGAATGTGACGGAGCGCCTGGCGCTGCGGGAGCGACTGCAGTGCAAGCCGTTCTCCTGGTATCTGGAGCACATTTGGCCGGAGCACTTCTTCCCGGCCCCCGATCGCTTCTTCGGCAAGATCATCTGGCTGGACGGGGAGACGGAGTGCGGTCAGGCCTACAGCAAGCACATGAAGAGCCTTCCGGGGCGCGCTCTGTCGCGGGAGTGGAAGCGGGCGTTCGAGGAGATCGACAGCAAGGCGGAGGAGCTGCTGGCGCTGATCGATCTGGAGCGGGACAAGTGCCTGCGCCCCCTCAAAGAAGACGTGCCGCGCTCCTCGCTGTCGCCAGTCACCGTGGGCGACTGCACGTCCCACGCCCAAACGATGGACATGTTCGTGATAACCCCCAAGGGCCAGATCATGACCAATGACAACGTCTGCCTGACCTACCGCCAGCCCAAGCTGGGCGCGATCAAGATGCTGAAGAACCGCAACGCCACCACTTCGAACGTGATGCTGGCGCAGTGCGCCTCCGACTCCAGTCAACTGTGGACCTACGACATGGATGTAAGTGCTTTCACAATGTCATCTTATCTTGTCTGTAATTAATATTCCTTCGGCAGACCCAACAAATCTCACATAGGGACACAAAACTGTGCCTCACCCTCAAGGCGGCGACGAACTCGCGCCTTCAGAAGGTCGAGAAGGTAGTGCTCAGCATGGAGTGCGACTTCAAGGACATCACCCAGAAGTGGGGCCTCATTCCGCTGCCATGGCGCATGTAGAGTATAGGAGTGCCAGGACATCATTTCCATTAACCCTGCCAGCAACTCTTTAACGCATTGTGATATTTATTGAAATTGAATTGTTTCACTCACGAAATTCACACGTTGATTTCTTAACGTGAACAAGTAACCAACCCACAAGCACACAAAGTAGCAGTCCGCTTTCACTGGCACATAATCCACTAGAGCAGCAATGATCTAAAATCAGCAATGATCTAAAATCAGCAATGATCTTAAATCAGCAATGATATTAAATCAGCAATGATCTTAAATCAGCAATGATATTAAATCAGCAATGATCTAAAATCAGCAATGATCTTAAATCAGCAATGATCTAAAATCAGCAATGATCTAAAATCAGCAATGATCTTAAATCAGCAATGATCTAAAATCAGCATTGATCTTAAATCAGCAATATTCTTAAATCAGCAATGATCTAAAATCAGCAATGATCTTAAATCAGCAATGATCTAAAATCAGCAATGATCTTAAATCAGCAATGATCTTAAATTAGCAATGATCTAAAATCAGCAATGATCTTAAATCAGCAATGATCTAAAATCAGCATTGATCTAAAATCAGCAATGATCTTAAATCAGCAATGATCTAAAATCACCAATAATCTTAAATCAGCAATGATCTAAAATCAGCAATGATCTAAAATCAGCAATGATCTTAAATCAGCAATGATCTAAAATCAGCAATGATCTTAAATCAGCAATGATCTAAAATCAGCAATGATCTTAAATCAGCAATGATCAGAAATCAGCAATGATCAAAAATCAGCAATGATCTAAAATCAGCAATGATCTTAAATCAGCAATGATCTAAAATCAGCAATGATCTTAAAGCAGCAATGATCTAAAACCAGCAATGATCTTAAATCAGTTAAGGACGCAGTAGAAGAATATGTGCCAGTGAGAGCAGGCTTCACCAATCAACCAAACACCGATACAGACCCACAAGAATTGTTTTCTAAACACAAATGGAGTGCGTCCGAGAGTTTTTCTCCCGCCTCGATGGATCTAGCTGGCATGTTCTACTAGCTGGCATCTATGTCATATTATTAAGCAAGTCTTAGGCAATTTTTAGCTGTACTGAAATACTTACTACCTTCGAACTTACTTTTTGTACACCACTTGAATAAAGCAACCGAATGTAGAGAGAGTATGTTCTTTCTTTCTGCGACTTCTGCTGCCGGTTATCGCTGGCCCCAGGGAAAGGTCGGGATGCAGTTGCTTTAAATTGGGCGCATCTGGCGCAGACTGCAGCACTCTCGCGATGAACGGCTGCTACAGCGCAATCAAGTACACGGGCCTGCTCTCCAATCTGCTGTACATGGTGAGCCTGGGTCAATGTTCTTTTTGTTTACAATCGATTGATGGTCCTTGGACTTTCAGCTTCTGGGCATTGGCGTGATGTGTGGAGCAGGATTGGGGCTGCAGGTGGCGGAGCCCAACACGCCAGAGCACACGTACTTCGTGAAGAGTCTGGTCCTGGGTGGCACCATCTGCATGATCGTGATGTTCGGCTGCTATGGTCTGGTCTGCAACCTGCTCTGTGTCAATCTGATTGTAAGCGACTGGCTGCATTGACAGCATTGAAACCCAATGAACTTTCGTTGTACCACCCAACGCCCCTCCTCAGTTCACCCTGTTCATTCTGATTGCCCTGGCTGCGGAGTATCTGCAGCTGCACCACTATCACAGTCCGTCCCCCAAGAGCTTCAGTGGCGCCTGGCAGCAGCTGGAACTGGCCTGGCGTGGTCTGGACAGGGAGCCCGACCTGATGCACCGGTACGAGGCCGCGCGGCACTGCTGCGGCTTCAACGGCGCCGACGATTACAAGCGCCTGCATCTGCTGGTGCCGGCGAGCTGTTATCAGGCCACTGCCAACGACACCGCCCAGCAGGTCTATCCGATCGGCTGCCTGGAGACGCTGAGCCACAGCCAGCGGTACATTCAGCAGCGCGATAAGCTGGCCATGTGGGCCATCGTTGGCCTCGAGGTGGGCAAATGACCTGCCGCTGGACTGCAGTTCCTCCAATAACTCTCGACCTCTCGACTCTCGTCCGCAGATCTTCATACTGCTGCAGACAGTGGCGCTAAGTGTGCTGCTCTTCAGGCTGCGCCAGCGGCAGCGACTCGCACGCAGACAGGTGCCGCCAGGTGTGCGGCGCGAACCGCGCTCCAACCATGTGACCGCCTCACGGGCCCAGCTCCTCAACGAGGCCTGACGTGATAATGCCTGATCTTATCGAATGGATTTGTTGGTTGTTGTGGTTGTCAGAGTTCTAAATTCGCCTATGTATTAATGTCATTGTGGATCAATGTAACCTGTAATTGAACAATGAATGTGTTACGCCCCAAATGGCACAACAGATTTATCAGAAATTCAATCATATTGACATTTTTTGGATTAAATATGTAATAACAACGATCAGAGGTAAGAGTGTGGTGAGGATAGTTTGGATATTTCAATACCTGTTATTCGTTAAACAGAAGTATATATCGTATTCCTTAAAAAGTATGTAACAGGTAAAAGGTAAAAAGGTGTTTAATATTTTAGTTGAGCACAATTATGCATTTACTTAACGACGTTTTCCAATTTCCAATTTTAATAATACAAAATGTATCTGCATCAATAGTAGCAATATGTTGCAAACGAAATTGCCGAGTCCGAAATCTATATATGTAAGTTTTTAAAAAAAATCACATCTGAACATTTTTCAATAAAACTTGCTTAGGTGAATGCTAGCACCGTCTAAGTATACTGAAAAGGAAGGATATGGAAAAACTCCATCAAGAATCGCAGGCATTTGCGTTTTTTATTATTTTTTGTAAATAGGTCTTTCCGTTTTTTTCGCGTCTGAAATTTATGTATTTTTTTTTTAATTACAAGAAGTTACTGGATATATTTTGATTAGTTTTTTTAGCGTTAATAGAGATGATTAGGAGCTATCCTAAACAAAAATTAAAAAATAAAAAAACCTACTTTTACACACTTGTTTTGAATGTTAAAGTTGTCAGGATGTCGCGCCAGAAACCCTGGAAAGCCCATATGTAAATTAATATGATAAAAAAAATATGGTAAAATATTTTTTCTTAATGTTATATTGTACTTTAACAATAGGGTTCACCCTAACGTCACTTGGCTTATCTGCCTTTCTGTCATAATCATACTACGGCTTAAAAGAATAAAAATAAATGTGACTCTGCAAATTTTGGGCAAGCCGGTTGCTAATAAGTTTACTTGGAGGGCTGTGCATTGTTTGTAGTCTGCAGAAGACGGACTGTGGACTTTTGTTTATAATTTTCGGACTCACGGAGAAATTAAAAAGAGCGTGGAAACTGCCCCTAAGAACTTATTGTTGGAGTGAAAGAAGATGAGTAAGATCTATCCAACTCAAAGTTGGTTAAAGAGACTACGCTCAGGGGTTGGATAACTTATATGAAAGTATATTAATTTCTGAAATAAATGTAGATTTCTAGCAAAATCTAATAAAACTCTTTTCGCAAGAAAAACTTTTTGTTCGTGCTTACAAATTGGTTACCTTATTTTTATTCGAATAAGCATATTTAATAAAATTAAACTGTAAGCGCACGTAACATAAATATGTATGGTCCGTCACAAGCTTTTTTTAAATTTCGGGCGCACCTTTAGAAGCAACATAAAATCGCCTAAAAAAGACCCAATAGTTTCGGGGATAAAATGTACTCGGCGAAATTGTGGAGGCGGAATTATGTCTCATGATAGCCTTCTTTTTTCTCAGTTTAAGCTTATGCCGTTAGTTTTTAACCTTATCTGATCGATCATGTAAAATTTCCTAAATTTGTTTTTTTTTTCAAAGAATAATCCGTATATCTCTTTTTATTATTAAAGGTTTTATATTGTTTCGGAACCATCATTTGACTACAAAACCTCTTGCCGAAGCTGCCTTCTGTTCGCGTTTAAAAATTAAATTGATATTTTTAAGATAAAGAATTTTATGGCCATTTAAGATCCAGTCGATCAACATTTAATATCTCTTGTTTTATGTATACGTTTCTTATTAGCCTAGGGGTTTTGCTTTTGTACAAAAGTCATTGGTAATCAGTAGGTGTAACGACGAGTTTTATTGGTCAGTTGGCAGCACAAGGTGATGCCCAAGATGATGCCTACGACCTGTAATGGAGGAAGGAATGAGTAATTAATATAATATTACTATTAATATAATATCTTATTTTATATTTATTGCTTTAATGCCTCCCAGTCTCTGTATTCAGAGAGCACTTTAAATAGACTGAGGGAAAAAAACTCAAAGAAAAACTAAAAATGATATTTTAACGAATTTGTCTCGATTTCTGTGTCTTGAAATGAGTACATACGTTCTAACAGCTAGAATATTTTTCTTATATTAATATTATGCTGTAATCGACCTAAAAAATTACTATTCTGGTAGAAGGGTTCTAACTTTGAACTCAAAACTTTGCCCTAGCGGCGAGTTCGAGTTCAAGCCACAAAGTGGCAGAAATTTGAAGTTGCTTGCGGGCATAAGTTCGATTCAGGTTTAATAGGCAGACATAACAAAGTTTTGTATGTTGCAAAAACAAAGGGAATAAACCTGTGTAAGTAAAATAAAATATTATAATATTTTAAGTCATCTTCTGTTGCATAAGCAGGAACGATAGAATCCCATTACTACTTCATAGTTTTGAAGACAAATATTTATAAATCAATCAACCTATCATTTCGTAAAATATCTTTCTTTCTACTTTTTCATGGACAAAACATAGGCACGGTAAGATATCGATTATCTGTTTTAGGAATCGGATCGGATAGAGTTCTAATTCCCTTGATTCAATATTCTTTTTGAATTTAATCAAATGGTATTTTGAGATTTTCTCACCTCGTAGCCAATGAGTCCGCAGTGGATCCACTTCTCGTATCGGTAGATCTGCAGGTAGGATCGCTGGACGGCAGCCATGCAGCCCTCCGCGTAAGGATACAGGGCGTGGATCCCATCCTTGGTGTGGAAGCAGCTGCGCGGCACCTTCATGTTGAGGCTGGTGTAGTCGGAATAGCCCTTGTCGCCACAGCACTCGTACTAGAAGAAGTAGGAGCAAATACTTAGAGAAGCGGCTAAGGGTACTCAACCCTGACCCACCTCCTGCTGCAGGTGATGCATGGCGCCATGGTGGACCAGCTCCTTCATCCAGAGATCCATCACGTACACCTCAGTGGCGTCGAGCTGCTTGGTCTCGTTGTAGTGCGACACCTTCCAGATGTGCGCGGCTATCAGAATCAGCAGCACAATCAGGTTCTGCAACTCGGTCACTTGTAGTTCCCATCAATCGACAAGCCATCTGCTCGGACTACTCACCACCACCATCACCTTGATGGAACCGAGGATGGCGCCCAGACAGCCGACGAGTCCGGCGAAGATGAGAGCACCGGCCATGCCCAGTTGGACGAACTTCTCCAGATGCTCCGCGGAGCCCTCGTTGAACTTGTCCAGCTCATAGACGCCGGCCAGGGCCGCCAGGATGCCAACGGTCTGAATCGGTATTAAAATAATGAATTATGCCTGCGCACATTAAGCGATTGCTAATGGCCCATGAAATGGGCTAACAAAATCTTCAGAGACAAACTTTCGGCGACGTGGGCGACGTCATCGGCCAGCGAGAACATCCAAAATAAAAACAAAACTGACGCAAAAATAAATTGAATTACTTTGGACTTTATTTTTAAATGGCACATACACTTTTTCCTTTCTTGTTGCTGTCGCTTCGATTGTTCGGAAAACTCGACTGCCCGACAAAAGTGGGCAGAACGAGAGCCAAGTGACATCTTGTCTGGTAGAAATGGAAATTTCGTTTGGGATTTGTTTGCTGCCAAATTGGCCTTCTACTCGGGCGGCCGACAAAAAAAAATTACAATCAAAAATGAAAAATGAAAAATGGGACAAAAGTGTAAGATATTTAATGATCTTGCTGTGACAGACTGCCACTGAGTTAAATTCGAACCGAGAATTCCATGAGCAAGTGTTTCCATTACTCATACGCCGCGTGTGACTCAAAAAGTGTAGTGAACTGTTGCATTTAACATGATTAAACACAGTGCACAGTGACAATCATTTAGGTTTTTATAGTTGGAACTTGGAAAGTTTATGAGCAATACGACATGTATGTACAATACTCCCATAAAAATCCCTTACCAATGTGATTGTACTAAAGACAACCGAGGTCCATTGCAAGCACACGCGCACTGTGGGCATTTTACTATTTGCATAAGCAATATTTTTCTATAAGTAATATATTTGATTCCACACTCATTCGAGCAGCGACTCCAGGCGGCGGACGTGTTTCCCCCGAAAATTCGCCTTTCACTCTCGACCGACTGTGCGTCGCGGTGACCGAACTGTTAGTGCCGTCGGATCGGGCAAAAATAAAGCGAAAACCGAATGGAGAGCGCAAGAAGCTGCGAACTGTTTACAAATCCGCCGAGTGGCCGCCCGTGTCCGTATCCGTGTCCGTCTCGGTCTCGGTGTCCGTTTCGGCGTTTTGTGTGCCGGTCGTTACTTAGGAGACCGGCTGCCACCAAATCTCATTCGCACCGCGCCTCTTCCGCCCTACACTCATAAAAATGCTCATTTTCTTCTTTAACAAGAAAGAAAGCAAACTTCGGCAAGCCGAAGTTCATATACCCTTGCAGCTATTGCAAGAATTTAACATTTTTGAAAACATTAAAATTATGATTTACTGCGTATATGTTTAAAAACATAAAAGCTATGATGATTAGCAGCTCAATTATTTGATAGTTATTTTATATATTTTTATTATTTCTATGGGAGCTATATGATATAGTCGTCCGATTTTGATAAAATTTAAACCATAATTCTGAAATAATTAAACATTGCTATATATCGAAGAACTGAACAAAAAATTAAAAAACAGAAAAGTTATAATTTTTTTCATTTATTTTTCCGATTGTTCCTATGGGAGCTATATGCTATAGTCGTCCGATTTTGATGAAATTTTTACCATAATTCTGAAATATTTAACCATTGCTTTATGTCGAAGAACAAAACAAAAAATTTAAAAACAGCAAAGTTATAATTTTTTTTCAATTATTTTTCCGATTGTTCCTATGGGAGCTATATGCTATAGTCGTCCGATTTTGATATAATTTAAACCGTAAATCGAAAATATTTAACCATAACTAAATGTCGAAGACCTAAACAAAAAATTAAAAAACAGCAAAGTTATAATTTTTATACCCTTGCAGAGGGTATTATAATTTCAGTCAGAAGTTTGCAACGCAGTGAAGGAGACATCTCCGACCCTATAAAGTATATATATTCTTGATCAGCATGACTAGGCGAGTCGATCTAGCCATGTCCGTCTGTCCGTCTGTCCGTCCGTTTATATGCAAACTAGTCTCTCAGTTTTAAAGCTATCTGCATGAAACTTTCCCAAAAGTTGTCTTTCTATTGCAGGTAGTATATAAGTCGGAACGAGCCGGATCGGACGACTATAGCATATAGCTCCCATAGGAACAATCGGAAAAATAAATGAAAAAAAATTATAACTTTGCTGTTTTTTAATTTTTTGTTTAGTTCTTCGACATATAGCAATGGTTGAATATTTCAGAATTATGGTTTAAATTTCATCAAAATCGGACGACTATAGCATATAGCTCCCATAGGAACAATCGGAAAAATAATTGAAAAAAAATTATAACTTTGCTGTTTTTAAATTTTTTGTTTTGTTCTTCGACATAAAGCAATGGTTAAATATTTCAGAATTATGGTAAAAATTTCATCAAAATCGGACGACTATAGCTATAGCTCCCATAGGAACAATCGGAAAAATAAATGAAAAAAAATTATAACTTTTATGTTTTTTAATTTTTTGTTTAGTTCTTCGACATTTAGTAATGGTTAAATATTTTCGATTTACGGTTTAAATTTCATCAAAGTCGGACGACTATATCATATAGCTCCCATAGGAACAATCGGAGAAATAAATGAAAAAAAATTATAACTTTTCTGTTTTTTAATTTTTTGTTTAGTTCTTCGACATTTAGTAATGGTTAAATATTTCCAATTTACGGTTTAAGTTTCATCAAAGTCGGACGACTATATCATATAGCTCCCATAGGAACAATAAAAATATATAAAATAACTATCAAATAATTGAGCTGCAAATCATCATAGCTTCAATGTTTTTAAACTTATACGCAAGTAAATTATAATTTTAATGTTTTCGAAAATGTTTAATTCTTGCAATAGCTGCAAGGGTATATGAACTTCGGCTTGCCGAAGTTTGCTTTCTTTCTTGTTTTCATTTATTTTTCCGATTGTTCCTATGGGAGCTATATGCTATAGTCGTCCGATTTTGATGAAATTTAAATCGTAAATCAGAAATATTTAACCATTACTATATGCCGAAGAACTAAACAAAAAATCAAAAAACAGCAAAGATATAATTTTTTTTCATTTATTTTTCCGATTGTTCCTATTGGAGCTATATGCTATAGTCGTCCGATCCGGCTCGTTCCGACTTATATACTACCTGCAATAGAAAGACAACTTTTGGGAAAGTTTCATGCAGATAGCTTTAAAACTGAGAGACTAGTTTGCATATAAACGGACGGACAGACGGACAGACGGACGGACAGACGGACATGGCTAGATCGACTCTACTAGTGATGCTGATCAAGAATATATATACTTTATAGGGTCGGAGATGTCTCCTTCACTGCGTTGCAAACTTCTGACTGAAATTATAATACCCTCTGCAAGGGTATAAAAAGGTTGATCAGTCCTATTAGATATATTCATTTTAAATTCAACTGTAACTCATTCTTGAAAATATAAATCTTACCTTTCTAATAAATAATATTTTCCTATTATAAATGTAAGTTTGTTCAAAACAAATAAATTCGTTTTAAGATTTTTTACCATTAGCAAAAAAAAAGTTTTAAAAGTAAAAACAACATTTTATTTTTACAAAAAAAACATTTATTTTTACAAACACAAATAATTATATGTTACCATTGAAGGTAAATTTCGACAACAAAATTTTCCTTGTTTTTTTAAATTTCTTAAATTTGGAAAATATTTGTTATGAGTGTACCTCATTCTAGCGTATATTTTTATATGCGTTTTTATAGGCAGACACATATCTATTTAGCAGCTCCTCCAATTTTCCGCATGTAGTGGGCACAAACAACACTTATTGAATATTTTGATTTCGGTTTATTTTTTATTCTACTTTTTAGGTGCCTTCAGATCATCTTAAGCTGCTATAAAAATCCATACGTATTGGCCTATGTGTTGCCAACAACAACCGATTTCGGTGGTTCGTAGGGGACCTGTTAGAATCTCTCGCGCCTCAATTTATTGCGCACCGTGATGCCCAAGTGAGTGGCGGCTCCCAGGGCGGCGAACTGTGTGGAAATATCGGAAAACTGATTAGAGTCCTCTATTTATACGGCCCGGCCTTTGGAGCTATGTCGGTGTGGAACTCACCTCCACCAGCAGCAGCAGCCACTTGATGATGAGTCCGATGACCACGTTGTCGGTGGCATGGGCCTGCACGGCCCGCAGACAGCCCTCGGTGAAGAGGAAGTCCCCGTGCCGCAGGAACGCCTTATAGCAGGTACTGGGGATTCCCCGGCCCATCAGAATGTAATCGTGAGAGCCCAACTCGCCGCAGCACGAGTACTGCAATAAAATGTGCAACAAAGTCAGTATCCTAAGTTCTTTAAGCTAGCGCTGATAGATTTAGATCATACCAAAATTTTCAAAAACGTTCATGAAATTATAAAGCTCTACCCTTAAAATGTGAAACAAATTATAGAAAAACTTTGAGTCAGAAAGAACTTACAAGCTTTTCGGAAACTGCATTAAAAATCATTAAATTGATTGGAAAAAATCAATCAAAATACAGATTGTTATATTTAAATATGTGAGTAACTTAAGATGACTATGACTTTATAATTTTTGCTTATAAGTAATTTGGTTTGTATGTATTTGCATATTGCCGATAACCCAACAGCTATCTACAACCCCAATGATGGGGACTCGGAAGCCATGATGGTCATTGGTCCAAATAAAATGGTTATAGCCACATTCAGAGTTACAAACGAACATTAATACCGACTCGGATTTCGGTAAAGAGTAAAGGGTAACTTAAATTAAACTGTACCTTTTGCTGAATAAATGATATGCGTTCCACATTTGCCCTCGGATCAGACCAGATGGCGAGGAAGTCCCTCTTCGACCGCTCCACATAGTCCGTTGAGTGGGCTGCCGCAATGATGTAGATCTGCAGGCACAGCAGGATGAGCAGGCAGATCACATACTAGCATAGAGGACAAAAACAAAATCAAATGAGTTCTGTAGAGGCCCCCGCGACTTTCCACTTACACTCCAAATGAGTCCGAGGGAAATCCGAGCCGAGGCGAAGCAGCCCAGAAACGAGGTCAACACGACAAAGGTGCCCACGAAGATCTGGACAACGATGGCGATGTGCTCGAAGGTGCCCGGCGTGGAGCTGTTCAACTCGAACACGGACAGGGCAATCAGAGTCACGCCAATCAGCTGCCAACGAAATTGCATAGACTTCATTGATTAGAGCCACCGGAGATACCATGTCCCTCATACGCACCGAAAGCAGCACATTGAGGATGATGAGAATGGTTTTGAGGAACGATGTGCGGCAGGCCATGTTGCCAATCAATAATCCCTATAATTAACAGCTGCCTTATCCTTGTTTCCCGCTGCGCAGTTAGCCCGATGCGGAGACCTCGATGAATACCGCCAGCCCTGTTGCCATCAACGCTGACGTGCGACTGAGCGCAGCGCTTTCCATTTGAAATGTGGCGCCCCCAAAAGCGCCAGTTAGTAGGTGCCGCCACTCGACGGCAATCAACTATTCCGCGGCGGTCGCTATGCTACACTTGAAAAAATACTACCTATTCAAAGTGAATGTTAGACCAACAAGCAAATTTATTTTATTTTATCTTAATCTTTGAATATTTTAGAGAAGTTTTGGATAAAATATAGATACTTTAAAAACACACTTGTTCTGTGTTTTTGCTTTCTTAAAGATATTTGAAACATATGAAGCAACATCTAATATCATAGCATTAAATACATAACAGTTTTTCTATGTTTCTTTTATCAATATCATTTTAATAATAATGTTGAATAACACTTTCAAGAATTTTTAAGATTTGATTATATCACCAAATCCTTTTCTGCTAAGTGTATTTATATCAGTCTTGCGACTTCTTTATGTGGTGGTGCCGTCGATTTTTGTGGGTGGTATGATGTCACAGCATGAAAAGCTTTCATCGTGTTTCCCTTGTTAAGGAATTGGAAGGGGCCAACAAACACAAGCTTTCATTCAGCTAAATGCGCAGCAGAAAGTGGGACATGAAAGGACGCCTATGAAGGATTAATAGGCAGCAAATTTATTCTACACATTACGTGACGAGCAACAAGTTGTCTGGCCCTGAAACACGAAAAACAAAAAGTTTCGGCCATTAAAAGCTTGCCGGGACTATGCGTCGTATGCTTAATATTTCCATTGCGCTGAACAAACAAACAAACTGTCAAGCGGCGAATCATGTGAAAACAAACATGGGGCACATTTATTATGATACTTATAAAGTGTAATTGAACTATAAATATGTACTTTAATTACAGGTAAGTTAAAGGTATGAGTGAATAATTTATGACTGCCCATTATTTTTGGTTATGAAATGTCGAAGCGAGATTTACCAGCGTAACCCCAAGTTCAGTTGTACTACGGGTTCAGGTTGAACGTCCTACTGTCCTAAAACTCCATGCGTCGCTGCTTGTTCTTAAAACTAATTGCCAGAAACACGGCCAAGGCGAAGCAAATCAACTGAAATGAAACGAAGATGATTAACAGTAGATTGTATTGCACCTCAAAGGGCGAGGGGCAGGGAAACCCACCTCGAAGGCCACTAGCACCCAGGACACTATGATGAAGCGCTGCTTGTCAGCCTCATAGAAGCTCTGCAGCTTTTCGATGCACCCATCCACGTACAGATGATCGGTCGTCTGCTGCAGATCAGCGTAGCAGCTGGGTGGGATCAGCTGGCTGAGGTGGACGTAGTCCTGGGCACTGTTCTTGCCGCAGCACTCGTGCTTCTGCTGCAGTGCATCCATGTTGTTGGCCTGCCAGGCCACCTCCACCGCTTCCTGGCCGCTCTTCACGTCGTACTGGTGGAGGAACAGGCAGGTGCTCACGATCTGCGGGATGGCCAGGATCAGCAGGAACACGGCACTCTGCGGTTTGGCGGATTAGCATTGTCTTCTGATTTAATTTCTGCTTTCATTTCCTTACCGTCGCTGTCAGTGCCACCGATTCCCGGATGGCCGCGAAGATTCCAAGCAAGGCGAACAGAAGGATGACCGAGCACGCTATGTAGGCGGCAATGACGAATTCTTCGGTCTCCGTGTCCGCATTATAGGCTATCCAGCCTATAGCCCCAATCGCCAGAAGCTAAAATATAAAACAGTGCAACTTCATTAGGGTGAATTTCTTGGAACCGAAGGAGTGTAAGAGATATATAACAGTGGAACTTCATTAGGATGAATTGATTGAAACCGATGGAATGTAAGAGATATATAACTGGATATCCTGGGAGTAAATCGTTAAATCGAATAAACTTTTCTTGTTTTTAACTGAAAAGCTCTTAAACATTATGTTGCACTCAATTAGTCAACTTCAAATGATAATATGTACAAATCCAAGCTCCTTCCTTTTCTTAATATTTTCAAATGTTCTGCTTATTGTTTGATATTATGGAAGATCGACTGTACCATATGATGATATGAATGCAGTTGCAATTACAAGGGCAATTGCCATTCATTTGTGTGACAATTAACAGCCGCAGTTGAGTGCATCACATAATTTATCGTTTGGGGAAGTTCGCCTGACTGAGCTGTGATAATGTAATGAATCTTCCTCCGCTTCCCCAAAATTCTCTTCCCGCTCGTTTGGGGGTTGATGAAACACCCCTGTTCGTTTCGTGTCCCAGTTTCGGGTCCCTCCCTTCTCGGGCTAAAGTAATTCGATTTCGCTATATGGGTCAGAGTGTAAACCAGAGTGCGAATATTGGTCGAGGGTACGTGGGCATGACATCATCCTGCGGGCGCGGAAATTGGAGCAATTGAAGGCTCTGGCGATAGTCGGACGGCAGGGATTAGGCCAAGTTGTAAACATGATTGTCATGGCAACCAGAAAGCCAGACGGGCGGCATTCATGGGTGGATACCGAAGGGGGCAGAGGAGGGCGCAATTGACCACCTTGGACGTGGACGTCTATCTCAGGTGGGCAGACGTCGCTTAAAAATACACACCGAAGAAACGCAAAGCAACCGAGCCAAATGGACATTTTGAAAAACATTCTCTTCTGTGACTTTTGTGTGCTCCTCAAGTTTATTTCGTATAGAATATTTCAAAAATAATTCATTTGTGGAGGCTCTTCTGAAGTGCGTTTACTTGTGCACCCGTTCCACATGACATCATGCTAATTTTCTTACACGAAACGTGGATGTATACGGTATATTCGATGCGATCGAGGTAATTAGTAATCCAAATATGAGTTGACTTACCCCTAAAATGGCATTCAGAACGATGGAGGTGATCTTAACGCTGGTCGTGGCACAGCCCATGTTTGTGGACCTGAAAAACATGTTCCGAATGCACCAAGTTAAATGTGATCCAAAAACACTCGACCATTTCTCAAATAAAAGTCTGTTAACCTTTTGACTTCTCTCGCCGCACACGATTTGAGTACGCCTTCGTTTGTTTATTTTCGTTGCTGGATTTGAATTTACAACCAAATGGATTTCCGTTCAGTGTTTGCCCGGGATATCCGCTCTCGAAACTGAACTTTTGGGTCTGGCACGTTCTGCGTTCACTGGCGAACTGAAAGCGGGAAAAGTTTTTGTTGTTCTCTTTCCCCTGGCGCTGTGTTTTTTCCACTGCTTCGCCCACAATCAAAATAAAACAGAAAGAGCACAGTCGCACTCTCGAAAGAGAGCTCTGCACTTGGGTCCGCTCTCCAAGCCATGACGTCACGTCGAACGGCATTTTGTTTGGTGGTGTTTTCTGCTCTTATCTATGATAACTTCAAAAACTCAATTCAACAAACTTGTATAGAAAACTGTTGTTGATTCTCGCGATCAGAGACTCAACAATATTTTCTCAATTATAAATATATATATTTGTATGTATCTATAAAGTTTGGCGGTTTTTACGCCGTTATATTATCAAATATATATGTTTTTTATTTTTCATCTTCCCGTTAAATACTTTTCAACAATTATGATACTATTAACCAGTTTACACCGCAAGTAACGGAGCCTTAAACAAATATTGGGATATTAAAGCAAGCACAATAATCAGAACGCAGTGAAGCGTTCCTTACGAGCCGATTTGACATGTGTTATTAAAATGTCAAATATTGTAATCTTAAGAGTTAACAATAGGGGTGTTTTAACCCATGTGTGTCAATCATCATATTTACACAGTAAATCTACATCAGTTTCAGTTTTTTAACATCTTTACGGACTTCATGAAGATCTGCATATTACTTTTCAGGATTAATTGGTTATAAGTAAACATCAAGTTCAAAAACACCGATAAAATGTTCACAAAATTTTCACAATTAAAGAAAACTAAAACAAAGAAGTCATCTAAAGAAGAAATATTACACACAAAATCACAAAATGTTTAGTGTAATCAAAAAATAATGTACTTATTTTAAAGTCTGGTTTCAAACCAGAATATTTTAGTTTTAGGCCTGGTGTTAGGCAAGCATAGGAAGTGTTTAAATTGTACATCTGAAAACCAAAATTTTTTATAAATCTTATATTCTTTTAAAAATCTTTTCCAATTAAGTAAGATTGAATTTTGTTTTGAATATCCTTGGCTTGAGATATCTGAAACTGTAAGGTTACTGTTGCCTTCGCATCTTGACACCATGACGTCAATTTGTCAATAAGTCAATGACTGCCCATACAATCCTCAATCTGGAGTCGCGCTCTCTCCCGCTGCTTGTCGCCCCTCCTCGGCTTGTAAAAGCGTTTTGTTTTCCAGTTTGTTTATGGCTGTTATGTCTGGGGTCGAGCATTCCACTCATTTCGACCCGGAATCCCCAACTGCTCCCACACAGGCACCCATATACACACACACATGCTTATATACCGACATATGTATGAATATACCAAGAAGGCGTCATTTCTGGCTTAATTATGTTTGGCTCTTTGGTTTGCTTTTTATGCCATTATGCATACACCAGACCGCCAGTCTTTCGTTTGCGCAATTGACTTGAAGAGCTTTCTAGTGGTCAATTTACTCCAACGTGGTAGACTATCCACACTGGCAGAAATCAGTGTCTGCTCGATGAGAAAACTAATAATGGTTTATATATAGATAATAAATACATTGATAGAGTATAAATATTTCAAAATTTTACGATCTTATATTTGGTTATGATTTCTTAAAAGAAAAACAGTGGAATGTATTAAGATTCGACTGCAACACTTCATTTAAAACATTTTCCAGTGCATAGAGGACTTTCAACATAAACACAATTTCATGTATGGCGGTATGTTTGTATATTTAATGCATCTTCGGTTACTCGGCAACTAAACTACGCACTTACATGACGCTGTGTTTGGTGAATCGAAACAAGGTACATTGGTGACGCTTAAAAAGGAGAAGTTGAGGAGATTGATTTCTAAGGCGGTAATGTGTCACTAATAGTTGTAGCGCCTCTGGCGATTCGTGTAGTGAATGGCCAAAATGACGGCTAGCACGAGAATGACGGCCTACAAAAGGGAAAATATGTTAGTATGTTAATAATAACGTTAACGTGAAATACACTAAGACGCACATCGAATCCGAGCAGACCCCACTCCATGTAGCTTATTGTCACGCCCTCATCCGCGAACGCCTCCTCCACTGTGCTGAGACATCCCCGGCGATTGAGATTCAGGGGGTTCTCACAGTTCATATCCTTGCAGCAGCTGCTGGGTACAGTACTGTTCCAGAATTTGAGTTCTAAGTAGTCAGAGGCTTCGTTGAGGCCACAGCATTGGTACTGCAAAAGAGGATATTTATTAAAATAAAATTGAGTAGGGACTGGTTTAAATTTGCCTTATTTATTTATTAGCCAAAATAAAGTTGATTGACTTACAGTCTTCTGAATAAGATCCATGCTGTTCGGTTTGGTCTGCTCCAGCTTCCAGTGATCCTCGACCGTCTGCACGGCGTACTTCTTGAACACATCTCGGGGATTGAGGATGATAAAGGCCACTATTAGTAACAGCAACACCAGCAGCAGCGACACGTACTGCAAAGGCAATTAAAGTAAGTTACTCATGGTGTGATTCACCTAATGTCATCATTCAGGCACTAACCGTCCACAGCATTCGGGGCGATTCGCGAACGGCTCCACAGCAGCCGAACATGGATATCACCAGGATAATGCCGCCCAGGACCAGAATGCCAATGGCATACGCCTCCGGCATCGCTCCCCAGCCGAGGACGCCGAAAATGAGTACCAATATTCCAAGAATCTGAAATTAAGTGAACAAATTCAATAAGTAGAGATATCAACAAGCCTGTCTATCAAATTGAAATGAAGAATGTATTTGGGGGCGTTACCGATAAGAATATATAGTATACAGTTTTAATTGGAAGGCAGTTCCAGACTCGGACCACTAATCAACGAATTTCAAACGTTGCTAGAACAACAACTGAGTTTCACTAAAGTAATTGATTTTTATACCCTTGCAGAGGGTATTATAATATCAGACAAAAGTTTGCAACGCAGTGAAGGAGACATTTCCAACTCTATAAAGTAGATATATTCTTGATCAGCATCACTAGGAGAGTCGATCTAGCCATGTCCGTCAGTCTGTCCGTCCGTTTCTATTGCAGGTAGTGCATAAGTCGGAACGAGGCGGATCGACTATAGCATATAGCTCCCATAGGTAAAATAAATAAAAAAAAATGAAAAATATATAACTTAGTTTTTTTTTAATTTTATTTTATTTCTTAGTAAAGGTTTAATATTAAGAATTACGGTTTAAGTTTCATCAAAATCGGAGGACTATAACACAAAGCTTCTATGGAAACAATAAAAATATTAAAATTTTTGTTTTTATACGCATCTTTTTTATTTTGTAATTTTTTTTTAAATTCTTTTTGACTTTTTAATAATTTATTAATTGAGCTAAAAATCATAATAGCTTCAATGTTTTAAACTTCTACGCAAGTAAATGATAATTTTAATGTTTTCAAGAATATTTAATTTTGCAATAGGTGCAAGGGTATAAACTTTGGCTTGCTTCCGTTCCTGTTGTTAATTTGTTTGTACTGAGCGGACATTCGGTGGTAGCCATTCTTGTCAAATGTATACATTTCACAGCTTTTAATCCACTTTTTATTTAAATTTCTATTAAATATGAATATCGTCTTTTACCTTAAGCTTCAAAATTTAAAGGTTTCAAATCTTTAGTATATTTAAACATTAGATCTTTAAGGAAAATTAAGGGAACTGCAATTTATAATAGTCACTTGTGTGTGATTGATTCATACTCCGGTGGCCTTGCGAAGGCCATCGAAAGTTTTGATGCAAATTCAGATTGTCTAATTTGTCGGCCAGCTCTCATCGCTTTTGTCACATCGGCTAACTAATCCGGTTTCCATATTCAGCTCGGTTTGGCTTTTTAAACGAAACACAAATGCATGACGCATTAGAGCTGCCTCACTTCGCCGCTTGGCTGGCGAAGCTCTCCCCTTGGCCCAAGGAATTCACAGGCTGAGCAGAAGCCATTAACAATAGACTGTGGCTAACACACACAGATAGCTGCGAAATGTAGTCATAAGCCAAGCACGCACCCGAGATGATATCATCCACTAGCCAGGTGGACATGAACGGCCAGCATAGAACCCAAACATTGAATCTTTCGAATACATTAAGACACCATGGCGGGCTATTTGTGTAAACAGAATGGAACACTTTCGACTCTCCTCGAGGCACCATATGCTTGTTTCAATTTGGTGCTCTACTTACCGCCCATAAGGCATTAAAAAGAAATAGCGAGTACTTTATGGTGCCCGTTGCGCAGCTCATTTTGAATTTGGTTTCTATTTTCCCACTTTAAACTTTAGCAAGTATGCAAACGTGCAACACGTGCAACAACTTTGCAGAATGGCGGCTTGTTTTTCAAACCCCGAATTTATTTCGGCGAGACTAGCCAGAATCCGATTAAAGAGTGCGGACTACTGCGGCCACGGTCACGAGCAAACTGAGCGCTCCAAAGCTCTCTGGCCGGAATGAACTGCCGCCGCTGCACAGTGGGGTAAAAGAGGCCAAAAGTGTAGATCTAAACAAACAAGACTTATCAAAAAAATAAATGGTTTTTCTATCGATTTTATTTAGTAAGGTACTTACCGAAAAAATAACTTGTTCTAATATTTATATTTTATATTTATATTTTCATCTGTGTTTGTATCTGCATCTATTACTGAAACCGTATCTGTAACTGTACCTGTTGCTAATATAATGCAGTACAATAACTCCCCTATTTTAATTTCGAACTATATTTTTATACATCAAAGTAATTATTAACTAAGCTTTTACCGTTAAACCTTTTAAGTAATTTTGCTCTATATAATTATCCATCATTGATTTGGATTGATTAGGTAGTTCACCGACAAAAGGTAACGTAAAACAAAATCGGTTTGATGAATTTTCCAATTTAAGTGAAATATTATTCACTCCTTCCGGTTATGAATAAAATTCTAATCTAATTTTTAGTATGCTTGATCCACAAATAAAAGTCAAATCGCAGATCACATCTGAATTTTGGTTGATAATTCGATCTCCGAAAGCAGTGCGCAATAGAACGATTGTAAGGTTAGCTGTGTGACACGAAGCGCAGACTATTTGGAATCAAATGTTGTCTCAAACTTCCTGTTCATGTTTCGGAAACAACCAATCAGAAATCATAACGCGATAGCGGCCTCGGCTTTTAACTTTAATACAATATGCTTAAAAACCGTCAATATAAGATAACAATTTTTAAAAACAAATATTTTTTGAGGTACAAGGACACCTTTATTTTAGCAAAATTAATAGTTAAATTCAAAATGGGAAACAAAGTGTAAGTTTAAGAGTCGACTTCAATGGTCCTGTGAAACATAAAAATTTAATAAATTATTAAATCTTATTTCATTGCTTTAAGGTGGCATCAACATTCCCAAAAAACGACCTTTACTACCCCACTGTGCGCTGTTGCCGTCTAGCAGCGTTTGTTAAATAAACAACATACAGCACAGGCACACACATTACCATACCAGCGCAGTCGGACCTCCATAACTCAAACTTCTAAAAAGTATTAGAATAAAAAATTTGCATTTTTTTTGCTGTTTTACCATTTAAACATGTATTATAGTTGAATTTTCATAAAAGAATAAAGTAGCCTTTTTGCCTCTGAAGGATACCCAACCTAGAAATGTCTTAATCGAATTATGAAAATAAATGTACTTAAAAAGCTCCTTACAGAAGGGAAAACCAAATATTATAAATTAAAATTGTAAGATATGTATTTAAGGTGATTTCATAATACCTATTTGTGTAGTAATTTTTAAAGACCAGTAAATTGTCCAATAAAACCCATTAAAGCTTACTTTATTTAACATTCCCCAAAAAAACAACTTAGTGAAGTTTACCCATATCCATATACAGACATGCACGGGCAGTAAGCAAACACTAAGAGCAAAGTCAAAAGGCAAGGGCAAAAAAGAAAATTAAAGTCGAAGACCAACTCTGTAGAAGCGCTGCCATTCGGAAGCCAAACAAACAGAAAAATGTATGGGGAAGGGGCTGAAAGCGTGCATCTGGCTATGCTTCACAGAGCTAGAGCGATATAAAAGTCGGGGGAATGCTCTATATAGTGTCATTTGCCAGATGTTTAGCCAGAGCGTCGGGTATCATCGAACAATCCCCTGCCCAAGCAATTTGCCAGCGATCGTATTTAAACCGGTGAGATTGATTGAGCTCGATTGCGTCACTCGATCGAGAGGAATGACGCCACCGCCGGCAAATCGAGAGATTAGCTCAGTCTTCGAAGTGGGGAGAAAAATCGTGTCTGCCACAAACCTTAATAAAAAAAAAAACATTTTTTACTCTAAGCTTTTCTCTCACCGAACGCTTTAAATAAGCCAAAAAAGATTTTTTTTTATTAAAAAAAAATATATTTTATGCTTTGGTGTGCCTAAAAAAAATAAATGAAAGTTTAGTTTTAATAAGTGCGTCCTGAAAATAAACTACAGACTGTATTAAATTATAAGAATAAATTCAATACTAAAAAAATAAAACACACTTTTTCCATTCATTACCCTATAGTTTCAATTCATGTAGCAACACTTTAGTTTCTATGACAATTTATTTTGGGTGTATCAAATTTTTTTATTAAAGGTTCAATTAAATAAGGGGTATCATTTTAAAGAGCGAAAATTCGATTACAATTCGATATTCTGTATGGCCAAAAGTCATTTTTTAATTTATTTAATTTTTACAATAAACCAAAGTCTTCTGAACTCTGAAAAAGTATGCACAAGATTTGTATAAAAGTTACTTTTGAAAGCCAAATGCTTTCATCTTTGCGGTTAAGCAAACTACCAATTTAAATAATATATATCCTTAGTAGTTGTAGCGAATGCGCTGCTTACGGAATCGTCCGACCAAATAGAAGGCAGCAATTACCATCAGAGCCTGTAGGAAATAAATCCAATATTATCCAAATAGTTATGATAACTCATTCCTTATTAACTTACGGTTATTCCCACCGCAATCCAGTTGGTGTCATGAGCGTAGCTGAAGAGCGCCACAAAGTTCTGGCTGGACTTCTGGACACATCCAGCAAGGTAATGGGGCTTCTGGGTGTCTGCCTGGGGATAGCAGCTGGATGGTAGGGTTTGACGACCAATGGCTACATAATCGTCAGGGCTGTCCCGCCCACAGCACTCATACTGCAAAAGAAGGTTGGGTTAAGCAAACAAGATCTATAAATGTTTCTATGAAATTTAAAAAGAACAGAAAAGGCACTCAAAACCTCTGTTTTGTCTTTTCTAACTTTGCTTCAATTAACCCAGAATAATATTTTAAAGATACAAAAAAAGATTTCAATTCAAAATGAAAATTTGTTAAATATAATAATAAAAGATTTTTGTAGAATTTAAATGCAACTCTGTTCTTGTTCTATATATTTATGTACGATACGAACCACTGACTGGTAAATGTCCATTGCGCCGGGCTCCACCAACTCCTGGTTCCATTTCATCTGAACCTCGTCAGCGGCGTACTTCTCTATGTAAGTCTCGCTGAACTTGAAGCCGAAGATGCCCAGCAAGCTGATAATCAATTGAGCCAACAGTAGGAAGCCGTACTGTATGGACAGTGCGTACACAAAAATAGAATATCAGTAATTTAACAGTAACGGGGAGGCAGGAAGGGAACTCTCTACTCACCGTTGCGGTCATGCACACATTCTCCTGGCAGATTCCACAGCACCCCAGAATAGCCGAGACAAAGATAATGCCGCCCAGTCCGTATAGGAACACGATGTACGCAAGGGGGGCCTTGGAGAGGGCTATTGTGGCAATGGCTATCAGCGACAGACCCGAAAGCTGCAGAAGGAGCAAAAGGTGCACCAATGGCGATTCAGATTAGCTTTCGACAACAACATCGCTATGTAATGTCAATGACTTTAGGCGAGTTTAAAAGAATTTCAAAAAATGATCAAGCTATAAAAAATAACTGGTTATATATGCTAACACACTGTTTGTGCTGAATATCTTAAATAGGTTCCATTAAATACTGAATAACCATAAAAACAAATGAATTGAACACTCGTGTAAAAAGCTTTAAAAGGGGTCCTTCAATTTTTTTATTTCTCTCGTGCTTAGTATTTAATTGTTTCAAAATTCAAGGTCTAAGAATAGCATTTTATTCAAATTTTAAATCAAATCCTGAAACAATACAAATAAACCGCAAAAGCTAAAAACTAGTTAATACTTTTTTTTCCTATTACTATTCTTTATTAACGATTCTAATGTAAATGTGATTTATTCACCAACATATGGTAAAGTCGTAAAGGCTTCTCAGATCAAATGGAAATAAAACATGAAACATATTGGGATATTATTATTAAAGTGCGCCAAATGTTTTTCATATCTGACAAACAAAATATATTTTTAACGATGACTGCAAAAAAAAATGTCTAGATTTCGTGAAACCGGAATGTGAGCTTTCTTGTCAAACCCCTGCAAATATTTATGAATTTTAATACCTATGGGAATATATAAGGAATTCGTCATCGTGAATGCAAAAGCAAACTTTTAATCGAAAAAAAAACCACAACACAAATTTTTTTGTATATGTGCTTAAACTTATCAGAAAATATATCACAACTTACCGCATTCAGTGTGTTAAGAGTGTTGAGAAAACACTTAACGCAACCGGAAGTACATCCCATCTTAATGCTGTTATTCAGATCGAAAACTAATAACTAAACCTGGTAAATACAGAACCAAGTGTTAGACCGAACCAGCCAGGTAGGAGTTCAGAAAGTGAATGAATTCGTATTGAAAACAATCTCTGGCAGAGGCTAATATGAGCGTATCAAATATAATTTCGCTCTTTTTTCTTCGGTTTTCGATCTCTACTCTTCGAGAATGCTGCCGAATATATTTTGAGGGAAATTAAACAGCGAGAAACTCGTTTCGGCTATGGAAAGTATTTATTTTCTAATGGCGAATTAGCTAATTTGGTTAACTTTTTTTATCAATAACAATGCTGGGATGTCTTCGGCCATCAGTCGTTGATGGGGGTTTCCTCATCCTTTATCTTGGTTTTGGCATGCTTGCGGGCCTTGCCCAAATGGTAAGCAGTGAACAAGCCCATGAACTGTAATGAAATAATAAATGTTATTTAATTTAATAAGACTGAAATCAGCACTTTATATTCCCTAAAAATGTGTTTATCCTGATCGTTTTGATAAAAGTCAAAGTAAAGCATCTTACAGTATAAGTTACCAGGTTTGGTTGTAAAAATAATAGTTTGACACTACACCCATTGTTAATCAGACTACTATACTGGACTACTCTTATTATTGTACCCTTGCAGTGGGTATTGTAATTCCAGTAAGAACATTTTTTAACTTTTTATTTACGAACAAAAATTAATGACCAATCTATAACAAAATATAAAATAAAATTGATTTTCTAAATAAAAAATAAACGCAATCAGAAGACTTGATTTACTTTAGGTGTAGTGGGAAAATATCTTTTAGAAAAGCACAAATAAAATCAAGTGCCATTAAGTCTGCTCAAAGAAAAAACATAATATGTATATGTATAAAAGATTTTTAATTGGTAGGTCCCATCTTTGATAAATATGTATCTCTCACCTCAAGCAAAATGATTGCCATGCAGCTGTAGTAGTTAAGGTCCGCCTGCATCCTCAGACTTCCGGCGGCCTTGGTGGCGCAGCCCTCCTCGTAGACGTGCTCCGGCTTGGAGCAGTCAAAGGCGTAGCAGCAGCTGCTGGGCAGGGCGCCGTGCTCCTCCTGGAGGTAGTCCTGCGGCCCCTCCAGTCCGCAGCAGCCGAAGAGACTGTGCACCGGCTGCATCCTGTCGTCGCTGTGCGTCTTCCGGTCAAACAGGTCGCGCATGCGCTCCGCGAACCTGCCCATCAGCTGCTCCCGCATTGCCGTGAAGGCGAAAAGGTAGGAGCCCAGCGCAGCTATTACCAGACCACTGCAAATCAAGTACTGCAGGCAATCCGGTTAGATTTTGAATATTTCATAGATCAAAGCTTACTTACGTATACGGAATACTTGTATGACTCCTTCAACGCCACGTACATGCCCAGAAAGGCGGCTCCGAAGACGGCCACTCCGCAAAGGGCCGAACCATAGCTGCCGTAGATGGAGACGGCTGAGCCCCAGGTGACCACGCCGCAGGAAAAGTAGAACACGTTGCACGTCTAATAGTTTAATAAAAATAAAAACGAATCGTTAGTTACTTAACTAGAATTACTAGAATTAAATAATATATAAAATTATAGCTTCGTTGGGCTTTTAGATTTTTTAATAATCTTCGGTACTCAACAATGATTTAATATTGCCGAATCATGGTTTTAATTTTATAAAAATTGGATGACTGTATCATATAGCTGCCACAGAAACAATCAACATGTACACCCAGCAAAAAGTCATGGTAAATCCAAATATTTTCACTTTGAATTAAATGTTTTCGGTACTGATTTAGTCCCGATGGGTGTTGCAATTAAATCAAAGTGTGTTACACTTTTAAGTATGGAAAACATTAGTTTTAAATCAAACAAAATTTTAATCTTCAATTTATTTATTGGAAACCAACCAAATATGTTAATAATTGTATTATCATATTTTTGTTTTACCTTAAGTAAGTTTACATTTTGAAACACAATGTTAGATTCAAATATTTGAATGTTTAATTTTAAAATTTGTGTATGCATTTTAATCGAAATCGGCAAGGGTGTATAAGCTTCGGCCTGCCGAATTTTGCTTTCTTTCTTTTTTGTTATTAATTTACAATTCATATATATAACATCCAGGCGGAGAGCTTTAAATCAAAAAATCCAATCTGCAATGCCTCAGCAATTTAAATAAAATCATCATTCGGGTATTTAGGGTCAAAACATGTACGTGATTCACAGAATGTTATTATCGGTCGAAATTTGTTAGAAAAATTTGTTGTATTATTCCCGATAAGCACATCCATTTTGGAGCTTTCAAAAATTATACTAAATTGTTAGATCCCATTCTCCTATTACCAGAAGATATTTGTTCGAAAAATGTTATTTACAATATGTATTGTGAATTAAAATTAATATTTTTTTCTAAGGTTTTTTAATAAGAAAAGGGAATTGCGGTCGAGTAAATTTAAATGGAACTCAATTACTTGTAGAGTAACAGAGTATATTGTAATGTTGTGCTTTCGTTAAAAAGCGCTCGATCCTATAAAATACAGGCTACATCTTTGTAACAGACAATTGGGTAGCAATTATCTCAACACGACAAACTCTTCTTTTGCCTTAGTTCTTGTTTTAACTATTATCGAGAGCTTGTTTATATCTAGATTTTCTGTGCAAAAAAAATATCATAGACAATCCGCTGATCAAAAGGTTTGGGAGTCGGAAGATCATTTCTACAAAACTGTCATCTCTGTTATCGCCACAAACATTGTGGTAGAACTCATTATCATTTAACTCAAAAAGCACCTTAAACTCATTAACTGGGATCAAATGCAACAGCACCTTTTTATAATTAGTTTTTAAATTTTTTACTTAATCTAAATACTTTTGTTAGACTAAACAAATTTTAATTTGATCTTGAAATTCTTTCCATTAGAAAGGCAGTCAAGGAGTAGGTGAATTTTGATATGTATGGCTTTCAATGTCTATAATTTAGTCGAGTAGTCCTGAAGATTTTTGCAAAATGAATTATTATTTTATTAGTGATTAATAACCATTGACCGTAACAAAATACAAGAACAAGCGTAATGCGTTCTTGTTGCTATAAGAAATCGATAAAGAGAATAAAAAATTAAAGACAAAATACATTTTTTTTTAATTAAAAAAAATCTGTTAATGTTAACAAAATTGTGTTGAACAGGGAATTTATAGCTTGCTAGCATTCGTATATTCATAAATGTGTAAATTGTGCCCCACTGTTATTCATAATATTGTCACTGTATTCGACATCCCTCCTAATAGTGACGAAGTGCGCCGAGAGAGTTCAAAAGAGACTATATATAAAGCCCAAAAAAATTACAAATTTATTTCAGAAAATGTACCGTTCAATAGAAACATCTGCCTTTAGAAAACATTTGTGTTTCAAATGCTTTAATACCTCGGTTTTCCCCTAAAATATATTGCTCTAGATAAATTTGTATAAATTCATTAAATGCAAACATTTTAATGTCAATGCCCTTTTTGAACCATTTTATGATGTATTTTCAGACCTCGACATTTGTAGACAATCGTTCTATAAATATATTGCGAAATTAATTGCCAAATCAACTTAATAATAATCTTAATTGGCGTAAGCCAGCCAGAATTGTGAAAGTGCCATTTTTAGATATAGTGGCAGTTGCAAACAGCTGGCCGGCTGAGTTATGTAAATATGTGAACAGGTATTATTTATAAACATATTTTCGAATGCATTGATTTGTTTATAGTCTTTAGCGGCTTTTTGGCCATAATACGCGCTCTCTTGGGTAAGATTTGCACTTAAGCATATTATTGATTTTTCGCATCACCGGGTGTTGTGCAAGACTCGCATTTGGGTCAGGCCATGGGACAAGGGGAGAGGTCTGTGTCTGGGTCTTTGCCTTGGAATGGGAATGGTAGTGAGAAAATGCGCATCAATTTTTACTTACCACAATTAGAATGCAAGTGGCCAGCAGGCCGTACTTCCAGGGCGTTATGGGAAACGACTTTTCCATAATGTTGAGGGCAAACTGGGAACCCAGTAAATCCTAGCACGTGAATCCCCCCGGTAGTTGTGTTTCCTGTGTTCTCTAACACTCAGGTCTCTGGCGGCCGATTAAACGGAATCGGGAACCTCTGGAGGTCTGGAACCTTGTACGATTCGCACTATGCCACGGGTCTGGGGTTGGGCATTGTTTACTTGCGCTAATGGTTGGGCTGAACCTTCAGCTTGGAGCCCACTCTGGGTTGGGGCTTGTGTGGATGCCACAAAAGCTGGCCTGCGACTGAGCCAAAAGGTGAGAGAGCCAGGTGCCGCAGCTATTCCTCGGATATTCACCACCGCCCAAGGCAGAGAACCCAGCGGAACCAAAACAAACAGCAAACTATCATCTAAGTGGTGACAATGACGCAGGCGCGTTTCGCAATTAGCATACAGGGTGTCCTTGTGTAATGCTGGATAAATCTAACATTTTTATCAATATACCAAAATTTACCCAGCGAATATATCTTGTAAGGCAATTCAAATTTCGCCATGTTAAAAATAGACAAATAAAAAACACTTTTTAAAAATATACAAAAAATCTAAATTCAATTTTTTATATAGCAATAGCTTTCATATATGACTTTTGCAAAAGCCACTTGGTGTTTTTTTAGACATTTGTGAGACCTTACCGCTCTAAATGGCTCTTTAATTAGTTTCAATTGGTACCTTCCGAATCAAAGCGAAAATTTAGGGCACATTAAAATGTTGCACTGTTTATGCGAATCAGGGCTGTGAATCACTCCGGAGTTGGATTATTCCGAACCGGAGTGGTAGTAGTTCAGATTATTACTGTCGAGCCGACTATAGCATTACTATGTTTAAACAAATTAAAAAAACAAGAAAGAAAGCAAACTTCGGCAAGCCGAAGTTCATATACCCTTGCAGCTATTGGAAGAAATAAACATTTTTGAAAACATTAAAACTATGATTTACTTGCGTATATGCTTAAAAACATTGAAGCTATGATGATTTGCAGCTCAATTATTTGATAGTTATTTTTTATATTTTTATTATTTCTATGGGAACTATATGATATAGACGTCCGATTTTGATAAAATTTAAACCATTATTCTGAAATATTTAACCATTGCTATATGTCGAAGAACTAAACAAAAAATTAAAAAACAGAAAAGTTATAATTTTTTTCTTTTATTTTTCCGATTGTTCCTATGGGAGCTATATGCTATAGTCGTCCGATTTTGATGAAATTTAAATCGTAAATCGGAAATATTTAACCATTACTAAACGTCGAAGAACTAAACAAAAAATTAAAAAACGGCAAAGTTATAATTTTTTTTCATTTATTTTTCCGATTGTTCGTTCCTATGGGAGCTATATGCTATAGTCGTCCGATCCGGCTCGTTCCGACTTATATACTACCTGCAATAGAAAGACAACTTTTGGGAAAGTTTCATGCAGATAGCTTTAAAACTGAGAGACTAGTTTGCATATAAACGGACGGACAGACTGACAGACGGACAGACGGACGGACAGATGGACATGGCTAGATCGACTCTACTAGTGATGCTGATCAAGAATATATATACTTTATAGGGTCGGAGATGTCTCCTTCACTGCGTTGCAAACTTCTGACTGAAATTATAATACCCTCTGCAAGGGTATACAAAATTATAACTTAGCTGTTTTTAAATTTTTTGTTTAGTGCTTCGACATTTAGTAATGGTTAAATATTTCCGATACGGTTTAAATTTCATCAAAATCGGACGACTATAGCATATAGCTCCCATAGGAACAATCGGAAAAATAAAAGAAAAAAATTATAACTTTGCTGTTTTTTAATTTTTTGTTTAGTTCTTCGACGTTTAGTAATGGTTAAATATTTCCGATTTACGGTTTAAATTTCATCAAAATCGGACGACTATAGCATATAGCTCCCATAGGAACAATCGGAAAAATAAATGAAAAAATTATAACTTTTCTGTATTTTAATTTTTTGTTTAGTCCTTCGACATATAGCAATGGTTAAAAATTTAAGAATAATGGTTTAAATTTTATCAAAATCGGACGTCTATATCATATAGCTCCCATAGAAATAATAAAAATATATAAAATAACTATCAAATAATTGAGCTGCAAATCATCATAGCTTCAATGTTTTTAAGCATATACGCAAGTAAATCATAATTTTAATGTTTTCAAAAATGTTTATTACTTGCAATAGCTGCAAGGGTATATGAACTTCGGCTTGCCGAAATTAGCTTTCTTTCTTGATTTTAATTTTTTTCCCCGATTGTATTTATATACTTATAAATTTATACAATTCCTGCAGCAGGAAGGCAACTTTTGGGAATGTTCCATGCAAATATCTTTAAAATTGAGAGACTTGAAATAACACTTTGATTTAACCAATACACCCCCGGGGCTAATTCAGTATCGAAAATACTTATTTGAAAGTGAAAATATTCGGAATTGCCTTGTTTTTCTCTGGGTGTATGAGAACAGCCATTAACCAATATTCAATATCAGTAGCCTAACAATATCATCATGCGGTCTAAGATCCGTTCATGCGTTCAGTCGACAGCAATTAACGTTCAAAATATTTAAAAAAATATATCTAATTTTCGCCATGGATTAGAGCAACACGAAGCTAATATTGAATTACTTGTTTAGTGCTAATCGAATGGGTAACTTAGCAAGAAATCTTTTTGGATTGTTTCTGTGCTTGCAATGTGTGACAGAGTTGCATGTAAGTAAGTTTGTTGAGGAAAAGGCCAAATCTAACGGAGGAAAATGTGATGTGCAGGGAGTCTTGATAAGATTTACGAATGTGACCTGCGAGAGCAAGGACCTGAGCATGGGTGCAGTGGAGTACTGCGAAGTTAACACACTGGGCAGGACTAAAAACAGTATCAGACTGCGCTACACCCTGCTAAAGCCAGTCTTTAAAGATATATGGGTAAAGTATGTTCAGATGTGGTATTAAATTGTGTGCTAATGATCTTGTTACCCCATTTAGTTCCACTTTCAGCTAATGACGAAGGGTACAGAAGGTTTCGACGGTACATTAAATTGGCAGCCCTTTCTATATGCAATGGACCTTGATATGTGTCGATTCTGGAAAAACCGCTACAACTACTTGGCCAGGAAGGTGTTTGAAATTATAGAAGGTTTCTCGAATCTGAACCATAGTTGCCCTTATTCGGTCAGTGCAACGAGTCCAAGTCTTATCTGATGAACACTTTCTCACCTATGTATAATTTTAGAAAGAGAAATTCATTGCCATTGATGACATTACCAATACTCACGTATCTAGCAAACTACATGGTATGCCAATGGCTAAGGGCTTCTACTCCTTGTTCACGAAATGGTCTACCGCAAACGTAACTCGAGTTCAGACCAACTTTTACTTCGAGGTTTTGAGTGTTTAATAAAACATAAATTTTGTTTATACACTGTTATGGGTTTGACCAAAATATATTTACACGTCGATCCTATATTCAATATTTTTGAGACAACTTAATTCTGTCTTGATCGGAGGCTCCAAAACTGAATTAATAAATTATTAATACTAGTTTACAGACAGATTTATGTAAAATTACATATGTATCTGATTGATGTAAGAGTGCACACTTTAACGTGTAAATATTCAAATATGTAAGTATGGCACGTATAACTTACATTTAATCGACATGTTAGCACCATCAGTAACAAACAATTTTAAAATTTTTAAAATCGTTATATAATTGCCAATGCTTATGTTTTGGGATTAGTAAATTATACTAATGGCACTTTAATGTCATGTAGTATGTTAACACTTACATTAACTCCAAAAAAAAAAGTATAATTTTTTTTAAATGTAATTTTTAAATTTTATATTTTTGATACAGATTACAGGTTACCAACTCTTTCATTAGTAAATAGTTGTTAACAAGTTGGGAAACTTAACAATTGATTAGAGAACATTTTTTAATATTAATATTTAATACTTAGATGACTTAGATAACGCTTCACATCCAGACGGCATTGTTGCGTCGGCTCTGATTCTTAACGCTGCTGTAGAGCAGCCAACCGAATACAGCTCCCACCGCCTGAAAAGGGGAAAATGCCGTATAAATAGACCCATATTTGGGCGAAATGATCTAACCAACCTCGCCGATGACAAGCAGCCAGCAGACGATTTTGAACACCAGCAACTTATCGTCCAGGTACTTTACGAACTCGGCTTTGCAGCCGGGCTTGTAAACGCGGCTTGGCGTGTCCAGGCACTTGTTCTCCTCACAGCAGCTGGACGGAATGCCGTGATGCACGATCCAGTAGTCCTCGGAGCTGTTGACCCCGCAGCAGTGCAGCCAGCTCTCGTAGTAGGCCAGTGCACCCGTCTGGTTGCGCTCCGACTCCCAGAGGCGATCGAAGCCCTCGTTGATGCTGCCCGAGATGCCGTCCTTGGTGCCGTGCGAGGCCATGCTCAGGAACAGCAGCTGGGACAGGATCAGCAGCACCACGGCGCCCACATACTGGTGTGGCAAAGGAGAAGGTTTCAACAGGTCAGTAAAAGTAAGCAACAATTTAATTTAATTAATTACGAAGAAGTTTGCTTCAATTAAAGAACCAAAAACTTATTCTTAAAATATTTTCAGAGCACTGGAATCACTGATAGAGTAGTGGAAGTAAACTGATATTTTCCAAAGCATAATTTATACATATACTACTAACTAACTAACTATACTATTGAATACAATACTATGAAATTTTAAATTTATGATTTTTATACCCTTGCAGAGGGTATTATAATTTCAGTCAGAAGTTTGCAACGCAGTGAAGGAGACATCTCCGACCCTATAAAGTATATATATTCTTGATCAGCATCGCTAGTAGAGTCGATCTAGCCATGTCCGTCTGTCCGTCTGTCCGTCCGTCTGTCCGTCTGTCCGTCTGTCAGTCTGTCCGTCTGTCCGTCCGTTTATATGCAAACTAGTCTCTCAGTTTTAAAGCTATCTGCATGAAACTTTCCCAAAAGTTGTCTTTCTATTGCAGGTAGTATATAAGTCGGAACGAGCCGGATCGGACGACTATAGCATATAGCTACCATAGGAACAATCGGAAAAATAATTGAAAAAAAATTATAACTTTGCTGTTTTTTAATTTTTTGTTTAGTTCTTCGACATTTAGTTATGGTTAAATATTTCAGAGTTACGTTTTAAATTTCATCAAAATCGGACGACTATAGCATATAGCTCCCATAGGAACAATCGGAAAAATAAATGAAAAAAAATTATAACTTTTCTGTTTTTTAATTTTTTGTTTAGTTCTTCAACATATGGTAATGTTTATTTATTTCAGAATTATGGTTTAAATTTTATCAAAATCGGACGTCTATATCATATAGCTCCCATAGAAATAATAAAAATATATAAAATAACTATCTAATAATTGAGCTGCAAATCATCATAGTTTCAATGTTTTTCAGCATATACTCAAGTAAATCATAATTTAAATATTTCAAAAGTATTTAATTCATGCAATAGCTGCAAGGGTATATGAACTTCGGCTTGCCGAAGTTTGCTTTCTTTCTTGTTTTAAAGTCAATTCTAAAATAAAATATGTACATTAAAGCATTACAAGTAAAAATGTGCATTTAAAACATGTTAAAGGGCTAAATACTAAAATAAAAAGTATTGCTATTTTAAAACAAGAAATGAAGCACACTTCGGCAAGCCAAAGTTTATAAGCCCTAAATATCGATTTATTTGCGTTTATTTTTAAAACCGTGATGATTTTCAGCTATATGATATCGTTTTTCGATTTGAATTAAATTAAAATCGTAATAGTTCGAATTATTACTATTTCCAAAAGAATTAAAAAAAAAATATACAAAAATAGACAAGTAAAATTTATTTTTAATTTTTTTTTTTTAATATTCCGATTGTATTTATGGGAGCTATATGACATAGTAGTCCGATTTTCATGAAATTTAAACCGTAATTCTAAATTATTTAACCATTACTACATCTCGACAGACGCAATAACAAAATAAAGCAACCCAAAAGTTAAGTTAAGTTATACTACCTGCAACAGAAAGACAACTTTTGGGAACGTTTCATGCAGATAGTTTTATAACTGAGAGACTAGTTTGCGTAGAAACGGACGGACAGACGGACGGACAGACCGACATGGCTAGATCGACTCTCCTAGTCATGCTGATGAAGAATATATATACTTTATAGGGTCGGAAATGTGTCCTTCACTGCGTTGCAAACTTCTGACTGAAATTTTAATACCCTCTGCAATGGTATAAAACGATTTTTTTCAGGGAATCTTGTTAACTTACGATCAGGAGCCTAACAGGAGCCTCGTGAATGGCGGCCAGGCAGCCGAAGATCGCTATGATCAGGATGACAACGCCCAGGCCAACGATCAGGCCACCGGCCACATTTTCACCAATGCTGACTGCATTCTCGGCGGCGGAGATCAAAAAGAAAATTCCGAAGGCGATCAGCGCCAGTCCGAGCACCTGTGGAAATCACAACGAGTCAGGTTGGCATGAGTTATGATTATGCGCACAGGTGTGAGGGTACTCACGGAAAACACGAAGTTGAGCAAGAGCAGCAGATGCTTCACTGTAGTGGCAGACAGACCCATGTTGACTGTGGATCGAGCGGCAGATGCGACTGGAGACTGACTGTCGATTTCAACGAGGGCGAGCAGAGTGCATCAGCGGCGTTACGTACATATATGGCAATGGCCAGCAGCCAGTTTCGGATACGTATCCGTCAAATACTGCACAGCGGTGCGGCAAATGTAGACCTTTCGACGTCCGACCGCCGTGTTTCAGCTGTGCGAATCAACTGGCACTGAGTTCAGATGGAAACCGAAACAGTGTGTTTTGTTTGGACTAAAACAACGATCGACTCACCGCTCGCACATTCTATCTATAAATCTGTGAGTGAAAATCGAGAGCGGAGAATTGGATCGCCCACTGGTGCGAGCTTTTCTTGTTTATCTCCGGATCCCCACTCATTTCAATTTTCTGCTGGCCAAAGATGTCTCGTAAATGTTCAGTCAATAGCAACGGGTTTATTTATTTTCATTTCGATTTATTTCTGGGCGTGGGCGCCAGTTTACAGTTTTATGATTAAATACTTGGTATTTGTAGCCTAACTTGACTAATCGTCGTAAACTACAATCACAATTCGCCAGGGCCTTACGGCTAGGAAATTACTCACAACGAATAACGATAATACAGTTCGTGCAAAACACTTAAATCTTATTTTAATTATAGAAACGTATGCGGTCGCGATGATTGCGAATGCTGTCCACTAGGTAGCAGGTGGTCACCGAGCCGGCAAACTGTAATTATAATAAGTTGGTATATTAAATATAAATTTGTAAAAATAGGTAGATAAAGTCAATTGATCGATGAAATTGTTCAGTTAACAATAAGATCATGAACTCAAGGGTCAAGTATGTGAAGTACTTGCAAACAAAATGCTTATGCTAAAGATTAATTGCAATATTTGTACATTTAAACGGTTTTATGTTTTTTGGTCTTCAACATTAAATTAACTTTGTGGATGAATACAAATATGTGTAGTTTCAGCGTGTTTTAAAAATTCTAAAATTATGGGTCAGTGTAAAACAAGATACTGAAAGTTTATTAAATTCAAAAGTTATGAAATAAATAAAAACTTACCTCAAAGAGTATAAGGAACCAACTTAAGGAGTGGAAGTTCGCGGTCTTCCCGCTGACATACTCCTTGAACTTGTTCTCGCAACCAGCCATGAAGAGATTGAGGAGCTTGCTGCAGTCCTGATCCAGGCAACAACTCGGCGGCGGCTCCTTCTCAAGATGCAGATAGTCCTCGGCACTGTTACGCCCACAACAATGCAGCTATTGGCATTAAAGTATCATTGAGTTCAGCAGCTTAGCAAATGTGTGGCCAGCCGACTTACCCACTCCTCGTATGTGTTCAGTGTGCTGTTGCCCTCGTGCTGCAAGTCCCACAGATCATCGAATCCCTGTCTCAAAGAATCCGGCAAGGACTCTCGGCTGGCGGCATAACTAATGCTGACCATCACAAACTGGATGATCAAGAGTAATACCAAAACAACTGCATACTGAAAATTAAAGTGAAAGTGAAATTAGAATGGTTTTCGGACTTCAACAGGGTATTTTTTTACTTTTGCTTAATAAAGTTTAGATCTTTTTGCATTACACTAAACGTTCTTTAATGATGATCTTTAATGTAGTTTTTGAGCGGTATTTAACTAACGTTTCTGATTTAATTTAAAACCACAAAGAGCAAAATGAATATAAAATGTTAAACAAAAGATATGACAAAATACAATACAATACAAATAGCGGACAAATATAAACACATTAGATAGGATATTTTTTAGGAGCTATGTTTAAAAGCCATTGAGATTGATATGACACGGCTTAAATGCTCTATTTTAGTTTATCATGCAATTGAAGTTTGTTAAACTAGTTCAATATTTATATTTACACTCCCAGGCAAAAATAGAAACTCCCCGAGAACTCACACAGATCAACAGGGTTCTGGAATCCTTAACCACGGCCACCGAGCCAAAGACGCTGGTCACTATGACGACGATGCCCAGCAGGATGCAGAGCACGGCGGCCAGATCCTCGCCGTGGTCCATGCCCATCACCGCCTGCTGGTCGGAGAGGCTGTCCAGCAGCCAGGCGCCATACCAGATGAGCAGACAGCCACCTAGCTAAACAAAGGCCGCACAAAATCACAATCCCTTTCAATGTCAGCCCATTGGGGTCTATTTTAGGCACTTACGGCACAAATGCCACTGATGACACACAGTACGTATCTGAGCAGTCGGGTGGTGCAGTGCATGACAGCTAGCGGTCGCTTTTCACAATTTTCACAATTTTCACAAATGTCTTTCCGCTGGGGGCGAGCACACCTTGAGCATTGCCATCAAACCATCGACTAAAGTCGCATAATCTTCATTTGTTTGTTTGGGGCGATGGTCGATGGATCTGTCGTTGGGCAACGATTAGCCCACAGACTCGTTGGCCGCTTCGGATTCTGTCGCCATCCGGTCCGATCCGTTGGCCAGATGCAGTGGCCAGAAAGCACAGAGTGAGGGTCGGTCCAGATAAATATTTTTTTGGGGAAATCAAAAGGCGAGCAGCGGCCACAGAAATGAAGAAAACAAATGAGAATAGGCGTGAGGCGTCCGCCCACGAGTTCTACAAATGTGAGTCAGCATGTGTCCACCCTCGCCTTCTGGCCGCCCCTCCCCTTGCCTAATTATCATAGGAATGATGTCAACAGATCGCCTTCTACGAACAATTCTTTATTTTGGATTGGATTGGCTTCTCAAAATGCTGTTACAAAGACTGCTGCTTAGGTCGAGCTTAGTGTATATTAAATTACATTGTAAACGGAATACACTCCGTTTCAAAATTACAGTTTTCCAAACTGGTAAACAGAATACAATCAACGCACTGCCCTCGGACTACTTCGCTTAAGTAAATTTGTTTTGGAATCTCTGCTGAGTTTTCGATTTAAGTATTTGTATGGAGAGTTCTTTGGCCTTAAGTATGCGCATCTTACAGTTGAATTTTCGAAATGCAATGCTTTCAAAAAACCGTACATAAACCTATTTTTGATAGTACTTCGACCGTCGCCAGCGATTCACAATGCTGTTGGCCAGGACGTAGGCCAACAAAGCGCAAATGATCTGTGAAAAAAACATGTTTCTTTATTGATAAACCAAAACTATATATAATTTATTATTTAGTACTTACCTCCACAGCAACCAGCACCAGAGAGACAATGTTGAATGTCGTCCAACGATCAGCGATAAAGTCCAGAAACTTTTGCCGGCAGCCCTCGAGATTCAGTTTGTCGCTTTCGCCGTTGTAGCAGCTATTAGGGGGCAGAATGTAGTCCTTGGGTCCCACATTGCCGCAGCAATCCAACTGTAATAAGCGAATTCACAAAAGGCGTTACCAAAGATCGTCTCTTGTATTTTTCTACACTCACCCAACGCTCAAGGCTGGCAATCTGACTCTGGTTTCCGGGCTTAATGGGCACAGGCTGGTCGTTCCAGAGCTGGTCGAATGTTTTGTCCACGTTTATCAGCAGCGAGGTTTGGAATACCCACAGAAAGCCCACGACCAGCACTTCCAGAATTATCAAAATTACCACAATTACGACGAACTGAGCAGAAACAAATAATTTATAATTATAATTTATAATTTATATAAATAATTTTTATTTAGATGAAATATTTGAAATATACAAGTATGAATCATGCCTAAAATATTTGAGCCGCACATTAATAAAAAACATTATACAACTTATTTGACTCGTTTTATTAAAACCAATTAAATTGCTTTCATAAGGAACATTATTAAGTTTTTATTATCAAGTTTTTGTCGAAAGACTACGTTTTATGTTTATAAAATAAATAATTAAAATAAAATGAAACATTCCCGATGTTGAAAAAGAAACTGATAGGTCAACACACTCATTCTATAAGTTCGGTAAACAAATTAAATTAAATAAATTATTTAAAAATTAACCATTCCCGATATCAAAGAAAAGTTATAAGACAACACACTTATTCCACAAGTTCCTTTAGAATGACCAGCTGATCTCCGGAAGCTCCTCTCAAAAAATACTTTATCATATCTAAATACCACTATATCTATGAACTGGATCCTCGAAAATTAAAAAAAAAAACAAACAGATTTCGTTAAAAAAATGTCAAACCTAGTAATTAATCGATAGAAAAATCAAAATAAAATTGTTCGACTAAGTAACGGTTGCTCAAAAAAAATATTGATTTGTGACCAAAATTTCGGACTTAATATTTATATTAAAACAAAAATATTTAAAAAGATCGTGTTAAAATTTTAGACTTTAAAACACCATTTTGAGATAAACGGGCTTAAAATTTGTACTTTTACTTTTAAGAACTCTAAAACGTCTTTTAAAATTTTCCTGTAACTTCAATAATATTAATAAAATAAAAAAAACCGATTTTTATTACTTAGAAGTATGTATGTATGTAACCCCTTTATTGACTAAAAAGCTAAAAGATTTCTTAATTTAAAAAGTCATTTGTGCAGCTCTGCATATAAAATGACCGTCTGTTCATATGACAGTTTTAGAAAATAGTTGTACAATTTTTATTATAAAAAGTGAGAAACAGTGAACCAAAACTATAAAGGTCTCTGTAAAAGTATTTAAGAAAGCTGCTCTGAACAATTCACTACAAAATTCAAGTAAAAAGTTATTGTAAATTTATCTTAATTCAATTGTGGTTTATTCTTACTTACCACCTTGGATGTGCTGCTACTCTCACGTGCAGCTCCCAGAGCTCCGAAAAGCGCAGTCAGAACGACGACCACGCCCACACCAATGATGACGAAGGCGGCCGTGTCGAAGTGCTCGAATTTGTAAATGATGTGTACTCCAAGGCCGATCACGACCAGGCCGAAAAGCTGTCGAACGGGAGAGGTGGGAAGCGGTTGATTGAAAAGTAAAATAAAAGTCTACTTTGGCCGAAAGGTGATAAAAGCGTAGCGTTTGAAGGTTCTATGTTGAGTCAATATGCAAATGCGGTTTCTCTCTCTCTATCTCTCTCTCTCTGTAGAGATGTAAATGTTTGTGGCGTTCGCTTCGAAGATTAAATCATTTTTCCAGCAACTACAACTTCATTCTCGACTGATGTTATCATACAAATATATTACGTATACGCATAGTTGTCTCCTGAAGCTCGACGCCCGCCTCTCACTTTCCGCATGCATCGCCAGTTGCATTTTAAAATTACCACACAATGACTCACTAGATCCACAAACACATCGTGATGTTTCACACTCTCCTGCCAAATGTGGACTCTCTGTAATTTGGCACTTGGCAGTTTGCCCAGAGAAGCGAAAAGAATACAAAAACTATTCTCCTACCGAAAAAGTATGTTTTCGAAATGCGTAGTAATTACAAGTCCACAGTGTTGATGTTTGCGCACGGCAACCTGTTGCCGCCACCAATTTGTAAATTATTTTTACAATTGTCGTAGGGGCAAACAAGAAACCAGTCAGCAAATACGTTGGCTTTGACGTGCCTTGTTTGTTTGTCACTCGAGCCAACTGGGCCCGGCTTAGACAAAGCTTACGTTTAGGTCGGCACTAATTCGGCCAAAGCCTACGAGGTAATTATGAATGATTTCGCCGATTAATCACTGCAGTCAGGGCTGATTTCCAGTGTGATCCCCGGCCAAAAACGTTTTGGAAGCCCTAAACTGGGTGTAACGCTGATGTTTGTTTAAATAAATATTTACTTAAGGCATAATTTAATGAGCTTGGTTGCCAAACAAGGCAGCATTAATAGAGTTACAATCGACTCTGGCCCATCAATTAATGTTTATGAGACAATAGAGATAAGCTGTAATCCACCGGGCACGTATTACTTAGACATCTGGCATTGTATTGTGGATAGTTGAGTGTGAGTGTTCAACGCCATTTAATTGTTATTTATTATGCTTCGGCGCCCAAATCCCGCCAAGACCGATTTGGCGCTGACATATATGTAAGGGCGCGTGGAAAACCGAAAACGCAAAGGCACATTCTTGAAAGCTCGGAAATCGAGAGCCATCAAATTGTATTAGTTGAAATGGAAGCCAAGCATGCCACAATCTGAATTCGTTTAGGACCATCCAACCATAATTAGACTTTGTAATTGAGTGCGCCCGGTTTGTGACTTAATTTGAAGCAGAACCTTATGATCGTTGTTTACACTGCGACCAACCCCACTCAACGCTCCAATATCTTAAGCGGTCTATTACGCCTGCCACGATTGCTAAATGTGCTAAGGAGACACTCAGGTGGTGTCCATAAAAACGATAAGAAAAACCATGAGTTGGCAACAGGGTGGCACAAACGGTTTATTAATTTGCTCTCATTTCCCCACGCAGACAGCAATTACGCGCAATTATCAACAGAGTAGCCAAGGTCGCACTTTAGTAGAACAGTGCGTCCAACTAATTTGCATATATGTACATATGATAGGTTGATAAGGCTGACACTAGATGGTGTGGGCAGATCAAATGCCAATGCCAGCGGTCCCCATAAATGTCCAAAGCCAGTCGCGGCACAGATTTATGTGGGTTTCTGTCGGCATGGGAGCACTCAAATCCCAGGCACAAAGGTTGAGCCCTACCCTAAAGCAGTATGAAGTAATTTCAGTCTGGGCTCCAGCATAATTGAAATCTCTCAGCGCGCAAATCAAGAGTTAACTCGCCTGGAACCAAACGCGGAAAATCGCTCATACGCCGTGTGGTGCTCGTTGGCATTTCCTCAGCCTTCGCACGCATTCCATTTAAATCAAATGCCAGAAAGATGCCCAAAACGTCTAGGAAATGACATCAACCGAGATATATATAAGCGTGCACAAACCTAACCAAAATCTGGTTCAAGTAAAACCAACTAAAATAAAAGCAAAAATCAAATAAAAATGCTATATGTTGTTGTTCAGGGTTAAGTGATGGCGTGGGTGACCAAGTTTCGACTTGGCAGCCTTAATAAAAAGCTCGACAAGAAAATAAACAAAATAAAATAGATAAATATTATACAATTTCTTAAAAGATATTTTTAGGCTGGAACAAATTTGCTACACAAAACTGCTAAACTTCTGAGCGAACTGGATATCCGCCAAAGTACATTCTTCCATGAACATTAATTTTACTGCGGCTCAAATTTTATTAGCTGCGTTTAAATTTGCATCAAAATGGAACGGCAAAAACAAAAGCCTTCGATAATAATTTAAGTGCTTGCGAACTACACCAAAATATATATTCAACGAGCAACAAAATATTTATGTCTGTAGGCCTTCTAAGTTTGTTTTCTACGCCACTAAAAACAAACAATGTACTACATCAAAAGACTGATGGATCTTGGAATGAACTTGGCCGATGATGGAGAACGTTTCTTGGGCAAGATCTGGCATTTGGCCAACGGCGGGCAAAAGTCAAGTAATTTTCCTGCACTTAGCCTTGGCCAGAGCTTCAGCTTAAT